GCTTAGCGTGCCATCACTGACACAGAACCTAGAACCAAGGATCTTACAAATTCCAGCTATATGCCTGGCACAATAGTTATCTTTACTGCCCTTTTCTACCTTTATTGTCTTTAGTGCAAGGCTATTACGTACATAAAATCATCCCGATTGGTCCTTTTGAGATTCAGCCTCATTGCAATTACTGGGACACTGGAGGAACGCCTTTGAGTTCAAATGGGCTGAATTAATTCTCCTCCAAAAATAAGACCCAAATGCATTTTGCCTTCTGGGATTCCCACGTTTAAAAGCTGCTGCCTGGCCGGCACCACTTCCACGGGCATACGTCAACGCCGGCCCCAGCAGCCCTGCTGTCACTCAACACTACTTTGGGTTAACTTTGAGACTTTTAACGTCAGGTTTAACATCAGAGCACCACACGGCTCAGCATTTCAAACCAGCACCCCACTGAAAGCAGCGCCTTCTTCCCAGACCAGGAGCAATCGAGGATAACAAGCACCTCTTCCGTGCATATTCCTGGTCACTTGGAACAAGGAGTCACAGTCTCAACCCACAGCACTCAGATCCGAGGCAGCAGCGCTGCAAACCTTAAAATATTGTGAAGTAACCCGCAGGCTACTATCAGAAGGAGCATGTGTATCCGAAGACTTTGCTGCATCACTTCGTAAGCAGGGTAGCTCCTGTATCAGACTAATACCTTAATGAGGACTAATTCCTGACAGCCTTCTGGCCACAAACCTGCCAGAACTCCAAGCCCGCAGCAATGTTTCTCAGCAACTTGCTCAATTTCTTCTCTGCGTTGCTTCAGATTTTTTTTGAGACTGAATTTCCACAAATTAGCTGGTTAGATCATTGAACGCTCTCACTGCTTTTGGATATTTTGCCAATACAAACTCAAAATCTTGGTTGCCTTTTTTTGTTTCTTTTGCACAAGGTGCTTATAGGTCCTGCACAGGGTGGGCGTGACACACTGACCCAGATTCCAGGCTTAAGAGCAGCTGCACCACCAGAAAATCATTTGCTCGGGAAGAGGCTGAGCAAGAGCAAAAGCCAGCAGGGGGAAGAGCAGGACCAGGAAGCATCTCGTACCTCGTACACCTCCAGACTGCTCTTTAGCAAGAAATCCTGTCCTCAGCTGCACCTGTAAGTAACTTGGAATCGTCATCTCCACAGAGAGAAGGGGAAATAAGAAATCGTCTGCAGGTATGCATTTTATGTCACATCCATCTCATAATTTTTAACCAAAATTGTGACTCAAAAGAGTGAAAATTCAGAACTTAAATTAAAGCAAAACCTGGTAGAAAATCAAGGTAATTTCATACGAGCTTCAAGGTAATTTTAATCTCTCCCAGCTCTGTTTTACCTAGTTCTTCCCTCTGGAAGCTATGGCCCCAAATCTTAACGCACACACAGCCCAGCCCAAGAAGCACTGCTTGTTTTGCCGACACAGAACCAAAGTGGCAAACTTCATATAAACTTATCTGCAACAACAGAAAACCACAGAGCTCCACCAAAATCTTCTACCCTACTCCAAACACGTATCAGAAACTCTAAAGGAGCATCACAACTGGTTGGGAAACAATCTTAACGCACCACCGACTTCCAACAGTGTATTCTCACACCAAATACAGCATTTTTGTCACATATATTTAGGAAACACAATATACACTATACATTTCAAGAAATTGGGGAGTGTGGCTTGCTCACAAGCCTTTTGAAACAGCAAGGAGAAAGAAAAAGAATCCAGCTGCAAGCCAATTCTGCCGCAACTGAGGCAGAGAAAAGCGAAGGATCTTACACGGTGCAAAAACAGCGCAACAGGACACAAATGTGTTCTGGGCCAGCAGCCATCCAGTAAGAACATAACTGAGGAGTTTCTTAAGGTATAAAACAAAATCATTTCCTCTATGAAAGCATAAATAAAATCAAGCACCTTAAAAATTAAGCCATGGTGTAAGTGACTCTATCTGCAAGCTGGGACAAGATGGGACATACTCAGGCTAAAAGAAAGAAAAATATCACTGAGCAATGACCAGTTTACTGAAAACTACTGGAAAGAGAAAAAAAACACGCCTCTCATCCCACAATGATTTCATACAGATGTTAACGTGACATTACTACCACCAAATACGACAAGGTTTCTGCCAGTATTTTGCAGTACTCGGGGATTTCAGTTTGCTGGTGCACCAAAGAGACGAACCATCTTCTGATGCTTCAACAGACAAAATTATTTCAACGAGTGCCTCGAATGGCCACAGAGAAGCCTGGAAGCATCCCCATATATTAAGCAAATCCCCCCCCTTGTAGTGACACCTTTAGCCGTCATCCATCTTTGAAATTAGCAGATGCGATATTGCAAGCGACGCTGCGTACAGCGCAGGCAGACAATGAAGGGACAGACAGGAACAGGCACTGCAAATCCCTTTCAACGGCACAAAACGTTAAAAAGTGAGTCAGGAAGGGTAAAAAAAAAAAAAAAAATCACCAGCATGCAGTTTTTCTACGTTGCCAGGAATTAATTAAAAGATAATAAAGTTTTTAATTCTTATAACTGCAAAGAGATTTGCACAACATGTTAACCGATGCGTGGGTGTCTCAGCCTGCAGCAAGGCAGTGCGATTATTTCTGAGGTATGAGCTCCCGTCGACACAAGATGCAAGCTTTGAAGGTTAATTACAGCCAGCTGAATGACGACGCGGTGTTGGTATCACAGCTGGACATCCCCAAAACCCCAAAACACCTAACTTGATAAGTGTGCAAAGAAACAGAGAGCCAACGTGCTTATCCAGCAGGGCTGGACAAACTGGTTTTCCCAACCCATATAAAATTTCTCGAGTCCTGTTGTACAAAAACAGCTCGGAGTTTTCAGAAGTTGCCCACGCATCTGAAGACTTAAAACGCCCAGCATCTGCAGATCTGGGAAACAAATCCCTCTCCTTTATCTGTTAAAGGACAGGAGCCGACTGCCATCACTGGAAATAGTTTTCACTACAATCTGTGCCAACACCAGTCACGTTCAATAAGCCTCCGAGCAGCTTTGAGCCCAATAACCAGCATTATCTGCAGGAAACGAGTGGGATTCTCCCTCAAAGTGTGTTGTGCTAGCAACTTCTCATCAAAAGCTGATGAACTTCTTATGTACTGGAGATCTTAAATATAAAAGACCACAATCACCCTCATGTCAAAGTTGGCAGACCTGCGTGAGCACTTTGTTCTTCTGCCCAGGTGCTCTGATTTCCTGATGTAACCAACTTGTTACACGTAAAGTTGTGTATCTGCTGCTCTCCCTGGATCGGAGAAGTGAATTATCTCCTTTAAGGGAGCAAAAGAGGTGAAAGGATCGCACGCTACTGAGTGCTGGCCAGCATTTCCCTGTCTGGGGAAGTTTTGGTGAGCGTCTCATGCAGGAACAGCAGCTCCCCAACAAAGAGCCAGGTGTATCCACCTGCCTACGCTTTGCATAGGAGTAACTCCTACCGCTAATGAGAGAGATTCCTTTGGGCACTGCAGGACTCGCTCTGCCTCTCTCAATTTTTTCCATTTATTACAGGGGAAGCTAAGAACTGGGAACTTACTGTCAAAAAGCAATTACCCCTACGTACTCCAACAGTTACTTTCTGTAATTGCTGAAATGTAACTGTAAGCTTTAAATTCTAGTCTTAAGATTTCTAGCGATTACACGAGTTCTAACAGATCAGTAGACAGAAGAACACTAGGAAATAAGAATAGACCTCAAAACCAGAAGCATCCACAAGAAAGAAGTGACTTATTGGGTGTGAAAAGGGAAAAAAAACTATCTTAGGCTTCAGATGAGCAGAGTTCCTGAGAATCAACTCCATTTTGGTTAAAAGAAACTTAACTTAGGGAAGGTCAGACTCGATGTAACAACACCAGCTATTTACGCTACCGCCCACAAAGACAACCTGGTCCCACACCAAACCCCAGTGCTCCAGGCCTGTTTCTGCATTGCTGCATTTGTGCCCTGAGCAGCGCCCGGGGCAGCAGCTTTCATAAAAAAGTAAAGAAGAAACGTACATAAACCAGGTCTCATTCTTAAGTTTAGCCCCTGCAAACGAGTCCAAAACGGTTTTTCTGCAACACATCGCGACCCTGCGCAGCTGTATGAACCGAAGCCAGCCTTAAGATGAAGGCTTTCCCCTTCCACCACGTACACGACAAAAGAACAGAAACTCATACATCTTACACCCATTTCTTATAGAATATGATAAAAATAATAATTAATAAAGCAGCCGAGCAGCTGAAGGCCAGGGGAAGTCGACAAAGCGCGAGCGGCCACACAATTTCTGCAGCCTGCTGTCCCTCGGGGACCGGGCACCTCACTTTTTCATTGCTGCAGGGTTTGTGCCCGAACTGCTGGGCAGGGGAAGGACGTCCGGGTATAAATCCCACAGATTTATTTATTTAAAAAAAAAATTAAACGTCAGGTTTATTTAAATATAAATAAAGAGAGGGAGAAAGCCTGGTTTTGACACTAGACTTTGACAACCTCTGGAAGGGGAAAAAAAAAAAAAAAAAAAGGAAAAAAAGCCCATAGCGCATCCTAGCCGCCAGGTTTTCCTTCCAGCCGGGCCTTTTGTACGCTGCTGCGGGGGCCCGGCGGGGAGCGGGGCAGCTCAGCACCGAGCCCGAGGCGGCCGCGGGGCCCCGGGCAGCGCCCCCCGGCCCCGAGATGGCGGCGGGAGGGCCCCTCCGCCGAGCCCCGAGACAAAGCGGGCGGCGGGGCCGGGACGGAGCGGGGCCGGGGCGCCCAGGAGGCGGAGGCCGCTGTCCGGAAGCCTGAGGCAGCGCCGGGGCCCGGCCTGAGGCAGTCCCCGGGGTGTGGAGGAGGAGGAGGGGGGGGGGGGGGCGCCGTGAGGGGAAGGCCGCGGGCCGGAGCCCCCGAGGGGGGCGCCGCGGGGGTGGAGCCGCGGACGGAGGAGGTGGAGGAGGAGGCGGCGGGGCCCGGACGGAGCGGGGCGAGGCAGCGGCGGCCGCCCCCGTACCTGAGCCGCGGGCGGTCCCCCCTCGGCGGCGGCGGCGGCCCCGTGCGCGCAGCGCCCCAGCGGCCGGGCCGGGGGCAGAGCGGAAGGGGGGCGGCAGCACAGCGCAGAGCCCCGCGGCCAGCACCTGCCGCCCGCCTCCTCGGCACGCTGATTGGTGGAGGACGGCGCCGCCTTCGTTCAGATTGGACGCCAGGAGGTTGAGAGGCAGCGGGAGCAGCCTGTAGAGAGGGCGGACGGCGAACAACAAGGCGATGGCGGCCGTTGATTGGGGGAAACGGTCCCGGCGAGGGCCCGCCTACCAACAGGAGGGCCGGCCGGTAGTGCTCGCGTCGCTCAGTGGCTTTCCGCCAATAGAAGGCGGCTCTGAGGAGACGGCGGCCCGCCCCCGCTTCCTATTGGACCTAAGCAGCGGGACGGCGGGCGCTAATAGGCGGAGCGAGCTGTCCGTCAGCTGCAATCAGAACCCTGCGCTCCGGCGGGGGCGGGGGGCGGTGCGGACGTGAGGAGCCGCACAGAGGCGGGGGGGGGGGGGCGCTGCGGCCGCCCTGCGCCAATGGGGCGGGGAGGGGCCGCCCCCCCCCCATCCCCCCCCATCCCCCCCCATCCCCCCCCCCCCCCCGGGGGCTGTGGCACGGAGCCGCCTCAGGGACCCCCGGGTTCAGCCCCTGGGGGGGGTTCCACGGGGGTCCAGGGGCGCTGACAGCGCTCGGACCCAGCCCCGGGGTGCTGCTGAGGAACCCCCGGGGGGGACAGCGCTGAGGGGGGCGTTAAAGGGGGCACACGGGGGGGTTAAAAGAGATGAAAATGGGATGGAAATGCTGGAAATGGGGGGTGGGGGGGCAAAGGGGGGCGCAGCCACAGCCCTGCTCCCCCCACAAACACCCTGAGGGGCAGGGGGCACCCAGGGGCCCGGCTGGAGCCAGCACAGGGGCAACAAAATGGATAGGAGAGGAGGCCCCCATAGGGCCAGGGTCCCTAAACCCCACTCTCATGACTCCACTAACTCCCTATTTTTTTTTAATTAAAGGAGTTTCTTCTCTCCACCTCTTCCCAGGTACAGCTCCTTCTCTACAGGCCACAGGCTTTACCTACACTTCATTCCCACCCCGCTGTACCAGGGCCGTGTTTGATGCAGTCCCGCTACAGCCCGAATCCTGCCACAGCCCTGACACTGAGGTACAGCTCTGCCCCGCTCCGTCAGAGATGCTACGGGTTGAGGGGAATAGCTGAGGCTATCTCCAGTCTCCATCTCCAGCTGTCACCATCACCACAGGACACAGGCGCTTTTCCCAACTGGCTGCAAGGACCAGAGAAGCCTGCCTGGATAAAGAAGTATCAAATAAAGAAGTATCAAGGGCATTTTTAAATTTATGGTCTGCACAAGTTTTACTGGCTGGGAAGAGACAGGAATTCCCAGAATAGAAGGAAGATCCTTCCCTTTTTTCAACATTGGTTTTCTTGCTTCTTGATTTTACCCATTAAATACTTATTTTACCACATCACACACTGGTTATTTACTCCAGAATTTCAGAACACAAATTTGCAAGTATGTATGGTAGCTGGATGATGCTTCATTTCCCAATTTCCAACACTTAAAAAAAAAAAAAAAAAAAAAAAAACGCGAATTGCTTCATATCCAAAGCCACACACTAGCTCACATTATAGCACAGTAATTTTTCTAGCAGAGCTTTACGGTTTCAAATCTGCAAGCCTAAATTACGAAGCATCTAATTTGCAGTAAAATTGTCCTAATTCATGCTAAATAAACACAAACTCAGAACAGCAGACTGAAACCTATGTTGGAAAACAAAGCTCAAAAACAATATACTAAGGAAGTCAATTACAATAGGTTCTTTCTATTGAAATATACACTTATTTCCTCAATGGTGCCCACCCACCAATTCTTATCACAATATAGATAAAAAGTCAAAGGACATTTTCAGTGGAATGTAAAGGCCTGACATTTAAGTGTTTAAAGTTACCACTATCCTTAATATAAACTTATTTTAAACAGTGCAGACAAAGTAACAGTTGCACAATTTCACAGCTTTGGCTTTCAGTATCTCAAATGTTGATCTGATTTCTTCAGTTATTTCAGCTGCGTTTGCTTAGGAAAATCTGTCTTAATTTATTTCTCTGGTTTGGGAAGTTGATAGAGATGCTCGCATGACTTGCTACAAACATCTCCGATACAATGGCTGACAGAATTCTAACAATTCTGGTTTTATTCCTTAGAAATGCAGGCAATTGCAATTCCCAGTTCACATTTGGATTTTAGTAATGTGGAAATCTGCTAACCCCCTGATACTGGGAATCCAGGTGGGTTTTTTGTTTGTTTAAATTGAACATACCGTGTTCAATGGTATGTAAGGCCTCATAGTAGTGCCTCCAAGAAAAATACTTTGAATACAAGAATATTAAAGTAGTTTTTCACTACAAAGAAATTGTGGAAATACAATAGGCCTTAAAAAAATAAGAGGCTTAGAATAATGGAACATAAATACAAATTCCTGCTCAAGAAATTACATCTGGAAACCTTCTTCAGAAAGAGTTAAATGAAAACAGTCAACACTTTCATCTGAAAAGATATTTATTTTGAGAACTTCAACTTGCACATTGTACAAAAATTGACAAATTCAGCAAAAAAACTATAAAACGTTTTTTTCCCCCTAACATATTAACATTATAATTTTAAAAAAAGGGTAAGAGTTAAGAAAACTTAAGCCAGGCACATTTGTTCCAGTCTGTCTGCAGTGAAGTGTGATTAAAAACATCTTGTCATGTTGAGGTATTAAACTGCAAACTTTGGTAATGTTAGAAAAAGACAATCCATTCACAAAAGCAAGCCTTCTTGGTGTCATTTACAATAACCAAAATGTTTTATAAAAAAAGAAAAGTCAAAACTGATTATTCTCCATTTCTAGGTAGAAATACACTGAAACAAAGAAATTCATGTTACCATAATACACCTAGCATTAGGAGGAAACCTGAAAGTTTGCAAATCCATGCTAATCGTATACAGCTACAGTGTTATATTTAACCCTAAGAACAAAATCCGGTTGGCAAGTTTAAACAATTCAGTGCTTATGAAAAAATATATACGGTGATTCAGAGCCCAGTCTTTCCAAAAAGGACAAAAGGCACTTAAGAATGGCTTTAGTATATTCCACAATGGCATTTCTGGATAGAAGACAGCACCTGGCTGAACAAATAGTTCCCTAATAAGAAGTCCAACTGAGGTAGTACTTCATATTGCTCCAACTACTTGACTATAAGCAAGCAGCTTTTTTTTTTTTTTGATATACAAAATTAGCAGGAAATGGCTTTTGATAGGTCTGTCAAATGTATAAAAACCAGTTATTTAAAAAATAGTAAATATCCACTTGCAATTAAAAAAGTCATAAGCCAGGAACCATCTTGTACAAAGGTGAGCATCAAAATGCTGCCAAGGTGATGCAAAAGTCTAACTTTATGGCCAAATCCCCAAATGCTGAAGATTGTTCTAGCAACCAAGCCATTTTTCTTGAATTAAAAAAACAGGGGGAGGAGGTGGGAATGGGACAACAGAGGGCAATCCGAGAACTTTCACAATCATTAGCAGCCTTACCGGAAGCACTTTGTATAGGAAAAAAAAAAAAAAAAAGATCTGTGCTGATGAATGGCAGTTTTGAAGGGAAAAAAAAAAAAGCAAAATTCAACATTTAGAACAAAAACAAAATCCACAAACATACAGAAGGATATTCCTTGAAGTTCATAGTTTTTTTAAAAACAAGGAAGACTTTAAACTTTTTCTTTTTTAGGGATCTGGGAGAACACAGACTACTTTTTTTTTTTTTTAAATTAAGCCCATTGAAAACCCATTAATAAGTTTGAACACAAGGAAATTAGAAGTGCTTTACAGAATCACCGTCCATTGCCATATCCAGGAAAGAGCTGAGTTAGAATGGTCTGCAGTGTTTCATTCACTTGCATGGTATAGTTTTTGCCAAGATCGTAGCGGCAGGCTGGACAACTGTACACATCAGCTTTGAAGGACCTATCCAAACAATCCTGGTGAAGGACAAAAAAATAATTAGTTAAGAAATACAGATGTGCTGTTCAGCTTATTCTACAAAGCCCCGATTGGAGAATGAGGCTCCTTTTAAGTCCTAGTTCACCCAGGTGCTGACGAGAGCTGAGAAAGGCCAAGAGCAATGCAAGGCTGGCTGTCGGAGAGAAAACTTCCATCACTACATGCAATCGCACATGCTCTTCAACAGAGCGCATCAGTCACGGCAGCATTTTAGTATGTGGTAGAGATGCTAAAGACTGTCATAGCTTCCACAAGAACACTTCACATTATTCCTCAAAAAAAAAAAAAGAACACACAACACAAACCCATGCACTTTGTGACATTAACAAATCCATCAGTGTCACCTAGCAGTATTACTCAGCCTGCAGAGAAGCTCTCATCTTCTTTTAAAAGAACCAGGCAGTAGCAATACAATTGTGGAACTTTCTTTAAAGTGAACTTCCCTACACCAATGAACTTCCATCAAATCCTAAGTTTTCACATATATAACTGAGTCCTGCTAAAGCACTAACAGGCAGAAAAAAAAATCTGCTTCACCACTTAACAAGTCAGTTCAAGGCTCAACTGCTCAACAGAAGAGTCACTGCAACTGCTCACCTTGCACACGTTATGTTGGCATACAGTTGTGACCGGCCGAAACACAACCTCCTGACAGCAAATACACAAGAAAGCCTCTTCAACTTTATTTAGAAATTTCTGTAAAGAGAACGTTTGAAACAACTTCTTGTTACTGTGCTCTGAAAGGTACAGCCCTCCCTCCCAAAAAAAATGAAAACCAAAGGATTATTTTAGACATAAAAAGGTTGGTTTTTTTTCCTCCTTTAAACAAAACTCAACATGGAAAAAAGCCACATTAACAAGTTCTTAACCTTCTCACTGTTCTCAAATAGTGCTTTTAAGTTATGCTGCGGATGCCTACATTAAAAAAAAATGTAGGAATTCTGAGGCTATTTCTTTATGCAGCCAAGAAGTTTGTTTAGGAAGAGTACAATAGTTAATTATCACTACTTTGGCAATACGAAAGCATTATATACCGGTCCATCTTTGAGAGCATCTAGTACTTCATTCCACAGTTTTTCATTGGCTTCATCACTTTTTATAAGAGATTTTTGCTGAGATGTCAGCTTGTATGGCTCTACTTTAGTTTTCTTTGGAGTCCCTGTAGGAGAGTTAATTACTTTTTCCTCCCCTCCACCTGAAAATGAAAAAACACAGCGACTTCTTAAACAACAGCAAAAAAGAAACTAAAAAGATTAAGTAGGTAAAATCCACAAAGACCTACAAGGCTTTCTATATCCACTTGCCTACTCCACAAACCTGCTGATTTCCTTTTCCTCTTTCCTTTCCCTGGGGTATCAAACTCATCATCTCTGTTATTTTCTTTTTCTTTATCTTTGTTTGCGACAGCTTCCAAATACCCCTCAGGATACTGCAGGAAAACACAAAACAAAAAGCATTCAATGCAAACAGGGCCAATTCAAAGACTTACAGACTATTAAAGGCTGGAAAGATGACCTCTGAGAGTTACTCCAAGGGTTATCTGTTTTAAATAATAGATCCCTGCCCTCCTAAAGTACTTCGACTGTAAGAATTCCATACAAAAAATGTGTTTTGTCCATTTAACCTCCTGATATAGAAAGAAAACAACCCACAAGAGATAACATATTTGTGTCACCCTCAGTCTAGAAGGGGGCTATCTTGATTCTTAGATTCTTACACAAGGCAAAGCAGGTTATCCTCAGTAAGAATGTATAATAGAAAAATTCCTGCTAACCATCAAGTCAAAGTGAACTGCGGTGATGTTCCAAAAGCGTACCTGCATTGTTAGGCCAAGCTTTTTCATCCTGTCCTTTCCTTCTTTGGTCCAAGGAGCAGGTTCGTCATCATCCCTCCTAAGTAAGTAACGCCACACCAAAAATCCAGATTTCCCTGTTTCGGGCCAGTATTTCACAACCTAAAAAGACAGCCAGAAGCAAGCCCACCAGATACTATTAAAGCTTCTTTGCCATAAGCAAATTACCTTTTCCTACTTCAGAAGAATTCAAATCCTCCTTACCTTATATATCCCATCGTATCTGTTCCCTTCTACAGGAGCGTATTTGCTGTGTTTGCCTCCTTTCACATTCCTCACCACCCGGACTGGCTTCCCAGCTCTCCAGTCCTTAGCTTCAGCTCCATTTTTGTCATTGATGGGGGCACTACAGTTCAGAGCCAGAGCTCTGTAAGAGGAAGTCCATTCAGTTTAGTGCATTTACCCAAAAACTCTTCAGAATCAGAGAGAGAACAAAGTAAAGCAGAGCTTGCATGGAATACTATTTTACTGAGCATCGCACTGGTACAGTCAGGTACCATTACTACAAGGAGTACCAGTGTACTGGCATTGTGCTCAACCTTAGAAATAACATACCAAAAAAACCCTGGAAGCTACTACTGCCTATAGGAGCCCCTTCTGGGCCAGGTCTCAGGTAAAAGTGTGTAGCCAGTCTTTTACTGCTTTGCCTTACATAGTAACACTTTCAAGTATCTAAGACTAAGTATCTAACAAGTATCTAACACTAAGTAACACTAACAACTCTGTTGACTAGGGATCAGGTTTTCGTTTTAAATACACTGATTATTCATTATATTACCCTAAATTAATTGCATGGACCACCTCCTCCACTCAAATCCACACTTAGTGCAGGAGTAACAGCTTCGAATTACGAATGATCTGGTCTCCCGAGGTGACTCATACAACAGTAGCTGCAAAGGATTCAGGAGAGAGTATGAAAGTTTCTACGCTATTTTACTACTCTGTTCCTTAAGCTTCAGACAACATAGAATTATAGTGATATTAGTCTCACGTTTTTCATTTAAAGTACACTGTAAGAAGCATTGCCAGTGCACAACAGATCTACAGCCATTGTAAAACAACAGTTTTACAAGTCAGTTTTACAGATTACAACTTTGATAAATAAGTTTTCAGGTCAACAGACTGCTAGTTACTAAGGTTCAGAACAGAGTGCAAATGTTGCCAACCTGTTCATGTTGGTGAGTTTTTGATCACAAGACTGTTCCGCTGTACGTTTGTTTCCAGAAAGATCACGACCTCCGCTCCCTGTATATGTGAAGGAATTTCCATGATCCTGAAACGTATATGGATGGTTGCAACATATTCACAAGAGTAATTAAATAAAAGAGTATTTTTATTAGGTATCTTTAATATTGCACTCTGCAAAAAGGAAAAAAATCACACACACACACCCCCATTTAAGTCTCCCAGACTTGACTTGCCTGTCATCCCCTCTTAAGTTTGCTAAGAACAGAGCAAAGAGTCAGGGCGAGAACTTGTCTCATCATACACCTTAACAGGTAAGGTCTGATACAAAACAAGAACTCTACATGATAGTTTGGTTCTCAGACATAAACAATCAGGATTTACTTACTATATCATCTTCATAGCCTCCTGCCAGAACCAAGGAATAAGCACCATCATTACTTCTGCCGTGTATACCTGCTACGTGGGGCCTGTGAACACCAGATTCGCTCACCTGGAAGAAAAATAAGAGAAGGAAAAAATACAATCCAAAAGTCTGTTAGGCAGCAAATGAGCAATGAGATCACTCCCTGGTCTTGGAACTAAACTAATTAATAATAAGTACTACTTTGCGTTTGTTTTGCATATATTACAGGATGAAACTGTCCTCACCACCATCATCCAAACAACTCCATATAAAGGAAACAAGTCTTTCAAAAATAAGCAGTTGGATACTCCAGTGAATTAAACACCTGGGTATAATTTGTGATTTGAATTTAGATCTTTCTCACATAGACTGCTTTTTAACAAGCTCCAGGAATTTTAGAGTAATGAAGGCACTAAAATGAAATACTTGTATAAGACAATTGGTATTGAAAGACTTTCATGTCATACTTGAAAAACAAACGCTGGATAGATCAGGGCTCCCCGCCCCATGCTCATACGGGTTGAGAAAACTTTAATATATCTAGTTACTTGAGACAGTCTTACCAGCAGAAAAAAAACAGAAGATATTACGCTTATCCAAGGCAAAATACTGGAAATACATGTTTGGTTTGGAGTTCGAGTTATCAAAAAAGTACAAAGGAAAAGAACACTTGAAATGCCTGAACAATACAACATTAGTTATGGAACACTAGATAGAGACAAAGCCAGAATTCTTTCCTTTCTGCACTTACATATCCAGTGACATACACTTCACTATTAATTGCTTCAGGTTTCACATCTAATACTTGGATCATTCCCATTTTTCTTTACAGTGGCTGAGGCCAGGATTCAGCTTCGTACCTGAACTCTAAACTTCCACATGGTGCCAACCGGAATCCCAGGAATTGGTCCATAGTGGTTGGAGGGGACAATGGTACATTCCTTTGTGCGGCCAACACATGCCATACCCTGTTTCAAAAAGGAGACCAGTCAGCCAAGAATTACAAGAAGCACACACCAACATTATTCTTCAAAATAAAAATGGCTTTAGCTGACCTTGCCCCAGTCTCTCCGCGAGGATGAATTAGCAGATGCCATCTTTTGTTTCTTCTTACTTTCTTTTAATTTCTCTCCTGCTAAAACCACCTCACTTGCATCATTTCGACATTCAGGGCAATACCTAACGTCACAAATCAATGAAAGTTAACAAGTAGCAAAGCCTTAAATTAAAAAGAATTTTCTCAGTTAACCAAGTTATGATACTACAATTTCCCCATATGAAACCAGATAGGACACTGAAGTAACTCCTCATACTGGAATTAGATCTGTTTTAGCCACTGTCCTTGCATGAGCTTCTAAATCACTGCAGAGGTCAGGAAATATTTGTGTCATAAAACTCGTTTTATGAAATGCTGAAACAGGATACATCAACTAAACAGCATATTTCAACATAGATACAAATATATTTAAAGGTATGCCTTCACCTATATGTCCATACTTGTATTTATGATTAAAAAAAAAAAATATATATATATATATATATGTAAATGCATGTAATCAGCATGTGTATTTCATATATTAAAAAAGTACATGTCACCAGCCTACTGTGATGATCGGGGACTGTGGAATACCCATAAATAACCCATAAAAACAACTACACAAGCTAAGCTTACTGGCAGCAAATTTACAGGTATCTGTACTTCAATTTGCATAAGCACCTACATCCCAAAACTATGCAAAAAAATAAAACGTTTTAAAGCCACCAGCTTTTTGGCCTAAAACACGCTCTCATTAGACTTGAGAGAAGCTACGAAGTCGTATTTAACAATGAAACCACCACGCAGACCACCCATAAGGGTAGCGTACCTCTCTTCACTTCCTACAGACACAATATCGCCACCTAAGGGCAGCATTAAGCCCTAGACCTCACTTTCTACTCGATCTAGATGGTGATTGTGATACTGCACAGTGTCCTTAGAACTTACCAGTCCTCGTCGTCTGGTATACTGCTAAGGGGAGGGTTGAGGCAGTAGATGTGGAAAGCCATATCACACTCGTCACACATTAGCTGTTTATCTGGATCTTGTTTGCCCCCACAGATATAGCAAGCACAGATCCTGCAGGTTTTGTTCGGGTTGTCCTTACAAGCTTTACACACGGGGCCATTTTGTCCTGTTAGCAAGGAGAAACGACACTACTTCAGACTCCAGGAAGTGCCAAGATACACTAGAAACGGTCAAAGGAGTCACAGCTACAAGTGTTTGTGAGCTCCTTGATACTTAAGGAGTATTAACAGAATAGCAAAAGGTAAGACAATATCGTACAAACGAGAACCACGCAGCAGACTCACGTTTTAATGGACTGGCGCTAATAGGACAAGCGCTGCCTGGTTCTTCAATTTTATAAATCTCATCCACAAACGTAATTGTGCAGTCATTCAAAGAATCACCAGCATCCCTACAAGGAGAAGTTGATAAATGTCAAAGAGATCATAAAGTAACCTACAGCACTCACAGCTGTGCACCAGTAACACAGACTGGTTTGGTGTCAGCCCTGTATCAGAAGATACCTGCTGCAGCATCACCTGCTCTAGCATAGGGGCGTGACAGCAGCACCATGAAATACTTTTTGTGACATTAAGACGAAGTACACTTTGTCTAATGAAGATTCAGGTACTTGTAGCATTCAAATCACCATCAGTGACTGCTGTCACCACAAAATATTTCTGACTATACTCCTCTCCTGTTTTAGAGTTATGAAGTCAAAATAACTATGGTGAGAGGAAAAAGGAGGAACGTTCTGGCAACCCCGTGAAGGTAAATTCTTATACATCAGCAACTAAATCTCAGAGTCCCTTATATGTATACTTGCTTTCTTCTAAATAAGAGATTTGGGGTTGATTTCGTCACCTTATAAAGTGAGGGTTTATTCTGCATTTCTGTATCTGACAAAATAGCACACTGAAGTTTTTGTAGAACTATTACAGATGGTTAACACAAACAATTAAAACAATTCTTGGCCTTTTAGCAAATCTGGGGCTTTGCATCTTCCCAGCAGTATGTGAATCCACAGATCAGTGTGCCCTGTGATTCCCTGCAGTGCCCAATTCCTCCAGTGGCAATTAATTGAAAACACAGTACTACAAGGTCAATCACCCAGCTTCCCATCTCTCCTCAGCATTTCTGGTATACCATTTTTTCAGCAGTCACTCAGACCTCATGAAGGCTTAAGCAGAGCTAGAGAACTCAATTTATTCCCCATTTCTATTCTGAATTGCTTACCCAAGTAGTATCTTCGCATTTATCTCCTTAATCATTTTTGTTTCCCTTTTTTGCAGAATCTCAGCATCATACCAGAAACCTCTCTCTTTCGGTTCATCGGGATTATAGTTGACCATCACCACCTGTCCTACTTCCAGCTGGTGCCATTTCAAAATAGTCCGTGCACGAGCCCGCACATCATTCGAACTTAGTTCTACAACTCCATTTTCTGGATAACTTGAGGTAGAAGGCCGGAATGGAAGGACAGAGAAGACAAATCAGATTCACCATTATTTGCAGTAATTGTATCTAGACGAGTTGATTTAAGAACTGATACGACAGAGCATACAAATACACTGTGAAGAATAACATCTCCTCCTCCCACACAGTCACAGCCAGAATCAGTCAGCCTAACTTTGTTAGTATTGTATCCCTTTCAAAACTTGGGTAATAGGATTTCATACATCTAAAAACATGATTCCAGCCCACGTGTTTTGTTTTACAGTTAATGTCTTCCAATTACAGCCCAGTTCTGTTCTACTTTCATGAATTCTTACAAATTCCCCATTGACATCACAATCCAAATGAGTATTAGCCAAGAAATGAACGAAACTCACTCCTCATATTTCACATGATATATTACATCTTCTTCAGGAATGGTCGTCTGCTGATCAGGATCTGCACAACTGTCATTTGCAGCTTTTTTTCTGGTTACATTTACCACCTGGGCTTCAAACCATGCTCCCATATTCATATCACGAGCATCAACCAAGTCATTGATCTACACAAAGCAAAGGATACAGCTCACCAAATGGATTTTCAATTTGAGCATTAGTTTTCACATCTACTTGAAGATTTAGCCACCTCAAGTTAACTGTTATCAAGATGTTTTACTGATCATCCTAAACACTGAGCTCTCCTTTGCCTTCCTGTTCTCATTATGCAACCCGATAGTCTTCTCAGGTTAAACCCCTAAGGCTCAAAATCTATTCTACACCAAATGCATAAGAGCTTTATCTTGTATAAACTGCTATTAATTAGTTTACAAGAGGCTTTCTGAACTGTCTTACTCAATCTGATGAAGACATCACTAGATCTGTAATAAAATCCATTGAAACAGACAAGCAAAAACGATTCTGAACAGCTTGTTGAGATTTTCTTTGGTTCATTCAAGGAAAACTCAGTTTTGACAAATGCAACCACTCCAAGCAAAAATACTGGGTAAAGTTTTTAAATTAAAACAAGTACTTGCAATGCTTTAAAAAAAAAATGTAAAAAAGCATATTGTAGTTTTAATTAAAAGGGTAAAATGAAAAATAAGATATTTTAACCCAAAACATGTTGCATTTAATTAGTTTGTGGTTGGCTGGTATTTTTTTTTTTGTTTGCTGTTGGAGTGTTTAAGGAAAAAAAAAGACAATTGGAGAATGAAAGATTTTCAGAAGTTTTCAACCACTGGAAACACTTCCCCTCCCGAAGCCTGGCTTTAAGCAGCGCTCCTGCAGTGACCCACTCACCTTATAGAGGCCGAAGCCTGGGTCAGTCCAGTCGGGCTGCGCAGCCGTGCTGGGCTGTCCCTCCAGTTCCATGGCACCTTCTCCATTGTGAGAGCTTTTGTCAGATTCGCTTTGGCCTGAGCCGCAGCCAGAGTCTGTGTCGGAGAGCTCGGAGTCCTTCTCCTTACTAACAGCAGGAAGCACTGCTGGGCTTTGTCTAACCAAGAGCTGAACAATGTCATTCAGTCCAACACTGTAATCAAAAAGGGAGTGACCATCTTCCATCTACAGGGAAAGCATCAAAACCATCAGGTTATTTAATTCAGCAGAGATTTTCCAATTCAAAACCACCCATCGTGTTGCAACCGCCTCCGTGGGCCAAGAGAGACCACAGCTCTGGAGAACCATTGACAATCAAGGAACTTGGCAGTTTGTCAGCAGCACAGATACTTATAGATTGTTATTCTTACTGTTCAAAATGTTCTTTTTTAACCGACTCCATGAACTAAAAAAGCTTCCCTGCTGCCCAGATTAAACCTGGGCGTCCTATGGAAGGGTTTGTGGCACATTCCCTAGAAACACCACTTCTGGGAAGAAGGACTTAAACCACAGATCCCCCACATCCTATCAAATATAAAGATAATTCTACATGGAAGTTCCTATTTTCTTAATCAAGACACAACTCATAATACAAACATTAACACAAAATGGTCTTTACGTTGTATTTGCACATGCCCCAGATTGTTGTGAGAACATTGCTCTGTTACACGCAGCATTACCTAGAAGCCAAAGAATTAATCACCTACTTTTCTCCGGGCAAACACGCAGTTTTTCCATTGAAAGTAAAAATCAAAAAGGATTCAATTCAACTTGAAACCACCCAATCACCGTTTAGCACGGGGAGGCAGGTCCTAATTTCACACCCGCTCTAATTTTAAGAACGGATTTTGAAAGTCTGGCGCTGTACGTAGTCAAATCAAGAGCCCAGCCCTGCAAGGAGTGAGAGGAGCTCGTAGGGCCAATAGGTTCCTCTCCTTTCAGGAACTCGGAGGAGCACCACCATTTCGGAGTTGAAATATAACTTCGAGACTACGCTGCAGCTCGAAGTTTAGACAAGCTTCACCACATATTTAAGGTCTGACTAAGAAATTATACAGGAAATGATCGTCCCCTTCCAGCCGAAACCACCAGAAAAAGCAATCCCCCGAGCTTTGTTCTCTATCAATGGGAAGCAGAGTAAAACCACAAAAATTTACACTTTACGGGAATCGCTCCGATAATTCAATTCGGATTTATGGCTCAGAACGGGTACGGAGCAATCCCCGGAGGTCTGAGCGTGCAGGAAGCGATCTGGACTTTCTCTGTTTTAGCGATGAGAACTCGCAGAGACACACGAGACCAAACCAAAAAAAAAAACTGTCGCTCGTTCTTTTAGAAGGGAGACAATCTGACAAACACGGCATTGTTATCGAGTGCCACCACCGCAGAACCGAGCGACAGCAGGTGCAGAGAGAAATGAAAGAGCAGAGAACGCGAACAGGACATGAAACCACAGGAGTTCAAAGGAAATTCTGAAAGAAGTGACAGCAACTGAAGGTCTATCTCCAGCAAAGGATGCCTTTTTTTTTTTTTTTTTAAATTAACGAGTATTTTCCTCGACGTTTGTAAATTCGAGCTAAGGAAACACGTGAACGTTTCAAACGACTCAAAACCTCAGACAAAGCAGTAATGGGCGCAGCAGGGAACGATCGCTGCAGGATCGCGCTGGGTAAATGTTTCTGTGTAAAAGAAAATAAGAAAAAAAAAGAGACCTAAACTATGAACTGGGGGAGTTACACAGAAAGGAATTAACTTTGCAAAGCAAGCGCATCTTTAATGAAAATAAATAAGAGTTTTATAGTAGTTGGATTCAGTGCTTTTTGACTGCACGGACAGTGGCAGGAGCCCGCTGACAGCCTCACCCAGCACCCAGTGTGTGACCTCCCCCGGGTCTCTGCACCCCCCCAGGGTGCCCGCGTTGGGGTCGGTCCCTCCGCTGACCCCACAGCCGGGTGCTGAAAGCCCGGCCCGGTACTGGGAGTACTGGGTTTACTGGGGGGGGGGGACAAACACGGGGCAAGGGGACAGCGGGGACGCGGGGGGGGGGGACCTGGGGCCGTCGGGGGTCGACACGGGGGCGGCTGGGGGGGGCCACAGCGCTGCTACCGAGGTGCCCCCCACAGACAGAGGGGGGCCCAGGGCTGAGGGACCCCCCCGGTGAGGGGGTGTGGGGGGGGTGAGGGCCCCGTCACGGGGCGCTAGGTGGCGGCAGAGCCCCCGCGGCTGGCAGCGGGCCCTGAGGGGGCTCCGGGGGGGGCTGTGAGGGGGCGCTGAGGTGTGGGGGGGGCTGGGGGGTGTTAGGGGTTATGGGGGGGGCCGTACCTGCTTGCCCCGGTAGAAGAGGCGCTGGCGGTGGGGCTCGACGCCGAAGACCTGGTGAATGCGCTGCCTCAGCCCCTCCACCTTGGTGAGCTTGGAGAGCGAGTCCACGCGGTGGGTCTCCCTGCCGTCCATGGTGCGCACCTGGATCCACATGGCGCCGCTCCTGCCCTCACCCTGCCCGCACCGAGCCCGGCGTCAGCGCCGCGGCCCCGGCCCCGGCCACAGCCCCGGCGCTCGAGGACCCCGCGCAACCTACCGCCACCACCGCCCCCCGCCCGCCAGCCGGCCGGCCGGCCCGCCCTCCTCCCGCCGCCACGCCATTGGCCAGCAGCCCGGCCGGTTCGGCTGCTGATTGGGTGTTGGGCGGTTTAGGCCCGCCCAGCCGGGCGCCTAACGGCTTTGATTGCGCCCCTACCTCCCCCCCCTCCCTCCCTCCCTGTGCCGCCTCGCGGGCGGGCGCCGCGCGCCAACTGCATCTCGCGCCACAATTGAAACGCTCCCTGCGCTCTCGCGGGGGGCCGCCCCCGGGGGAAGCCTCGCGAGGTTATGCAAATTAGGCAGCCCGGCCGGGACGGGAGGGGAGGGAGGGGGAGCTCTTAAAGGGGCCGCCGCCGCCGGGGACGGCGGAGCTCGGGGCGGGGGGGGGGGACGGACAACGGGGCCGCGCCCCCCCCCCCTCACTCCCCCCCCCCTCCTTCCCGGGGCTGGGCTGCTCCGCGCGTTCACGGCGGGGGGCGCCGCGTTCCGGCCCAGAGAAAAATAAATAAAATAATAAAAATAAAATCATAAAATTAAAATAAGAAAATAAAGTAAATTTAAAAATAAAATAAATTAAGAAAATAAAATTTAAAAAACAAAATAAATTAAGAAAATAAAACAATTTAAAAATAAAATAAATTTAAAAATAAAATAAATTAAGAAAATAAAATAAATTAATTAAAAAACGGGGCCCCGGCCGTCTCCGTGCGGTCCCGCTCGCCGCCAGCCCCGGTCCGCAGCAGCCCCGGGAGCCGCGCGGGGCCCTGCCCGCCCCCCGGCCCCCCCCGCTCCGCTTGGAACCCCCCGGCCCGGCCGCGCTCCGAGGGCTCGGGGCCGCTCCCGGATCCCCGCGGCCCGCCCCGGCAGCGGCTCCGCTCCCGGTGCGCCCAACGGGGACGAGCTCCGCCGGCCCCCGGTGCCGGCAGCTGTCACCGGGCCGGGAAGGGAGGAGGGGAAGGGGGGGGAGAAGCGAAGGGGAAGGAGGGTGAGGGAGGCTCCTCCGCCGTCCCCTTACCGCGTCCCGGGCTCGGGGGCCGGCGGCGGAGACTCACCGGCGGTGCGGTGCTGGAGGCCGGTGCCGCGCTGCGCCCCCACCGCCGCCGCCCCGCGCCTCTCCCCGGCCCTTTGGAGTTTGGCGCGGAAAAGCCCCGTGCGCGGCGGGCGCCCGCCCATTGGCCGCCGCTGGCGGGAACTGAGCGCCGGGGGCGGGGCCACGCCCAACCGGGAGCGCGGGAGGGCCCCGCAGCGCAACCGGGACCCGAGCCGGGACCCCCCCCACACACCCCCGGGGGTCGGGCACGGAGCGGTCCCTTTGGTCCCGTCCCGTCCCGCTGCGAGGGGTCCGAAAGGGTCCGGTGGGAGCCCCCCGTGGTGGGTGGGAAGGGTCTCCCGGTAGCCCCGGTATCGGAGGGGCCGTTAGGTTGTTTGGAAACGGCACCGGGAACACCGGGCCGGTGGTGGGTGTGCGAAACGAGCGGGAGGCGCGAAATGTCGCCTCGTGGCTGCCCTCCCTGCAGCCATCTTCCAAAGGCGCAGCGGCACCGCCGAGCACGGCACGGGGCTCGTCTCCGCCGGGAGCTCAAGGCCTCACCGGGAGCTCCAAACCTCACCGGGAGCTCCAAACCTCACCGGGAGCTCGAAGCCTTACCGGGAGCTCAAGGCCCTGCCGTGGTGCTGAGAGAGGCCTCCAAGATCCGAGCCGCCAGCTGCCGAGCCCCCGGGCCCTGCGCGTGGTCCCCTCGAAAACGTGGCCGCGGGCGCTGCTGCGGGACGGAAAGCAGGGCTGGTCCTGGGGGGTGTTTTCCCCTTCACTTGTAACCCTACGAGGAAATTAGAAAGGAGAAAGGGTGTTTAGGATGGCCGCTCGGTGGAGTAAACTGCAGGCGGGGGGTTTACCGCCAGGTTTCTGAGAAACGGAATCGGCTTTAAAGGATAAAATCGGGGAATTGGCGATGGTGGGGGACAGACCCCGGGCTGGGGCGGTGGCAGGGCTCTGCCACGGGTGGCTTCAGCAGCACCGCCACCCGCCCAGGCCCAGCCGAGCGGCCTCGCGGACAAAGGGAACACGAGAGGCGCCGAGGCTGAAGGCAGAGCGGTGTTTCCCATGGTACGCCCCCCCGCGCCCACAGACACAGAGCTGAGCTCTCGTAGCCTTCAAAAAAAAACCACCATGAAGTCGATGGGATGTGGCCCCCAGCTGCCCCCCTGGTTTCAGGCTGCCCCGGTGGGTGCGTGCAGCAAGCGAAGGCCTCCTAAGCAGCCTGTGTCCCCCTCTGGGACCCCCCTGCCCCGTTAGGATCTGTTGGGGATCCCACAGCCAAGCCACGGATCCCAGGTTGAAAGCTGGTGGCCTAGATTAGGTTAGTACCAAAGGTTAGGCATGTGTCAGCGCACAAAAGCCTTGAATCTGACCTGCGACCTGCAGCAGTCAGGCTTCATTTCCTCCCACATCTGAAGGCTTTGCTTTGCAAGAAAGTCATTTTTCCCCCCTGTAGGTGCACCGGGGTCTTAACCTTGACCTACTGCAGCAGCACACCCCCTTCCACAGTCCAAGGGGGTTATCAGAAGTTAGAGACCTGGCAGGGAGCAGGGAGAAAGGCTGGGCACTGGGAGAACAGTTTGCACCCTTTTAAGGGCAGGTCCCACACCTAAACGTGTGACCCAGGTTGGGATTTTCTGGGCTGAAGCTGGAGGCTGTGCTGTTTGACAGCGCGCCTGGATCCACGTTGTCACCCACGTGTCCCATTTCTAGAGGAGTGGAGAACCCACATCCCTCACCAGCTGCAAGAGGGTTTAACAGCAGCCGTTTACTACCCTCATTCAGTCTCTTTTCAGCATCGTTTACACCTCTGTAAAGTGCAACAAAAAGTTCAAAAAAAGCCACTTCAACATACAGACCTGACCCTTCTGTCCTGGAGTAGTCTGTGTCCCATTAAGCTCACGTTCAAGGAATGTATGGTTAAACTGTTAGCTATTTGGGTCAACTTTCTGACACCCAGATGCCAAATGTGTTTCTGGTAGCACCTTAGCACCTTGCATTTGACTCTCCCATACGCCCCATTAGGGTCCCATCCCATGTCCACATCAGGACTACATTGCTCGTGTCCAGGAGCATCGCACACACGCGTCCTTCTGCCCTCGGTGATCCCCACCACAGTGCAGGGAACGCGCTTTTACCGTAACGCAGGGGCTGTTCGAGGAAAGGGCTCGTGTAGGGTGACTTGTAGCATCCCTAGAACTATCAGGGTCAGGAAGCAAGAAGCGCAGTTTCTGAAGAAACTTTTACTCATTCGGTGAATCCACACGCTGCAGAAGCTGTGCTGTGCTGCATCCTACACGCTGCTCAGTTGGGTCTGCAGATATATAAAATAAGGCTCAATTCTAGATCATTCTAGCAGTAGAGCACTGCTTTCATTACAAGTTAAATTATGCATACTCTCATTTTAAGGTCCTTTCTTCTGTTAAAACAAGAACATTGCCAGAGAAACTCAGAGAGCACTTCTGATGTGAGATAAAGCCCAGGGAGCTTCGGCTTTCCACAGACTGTCAGAAAAAAGGACCGTGACTTCCCTGTCTTGCAGTTGTCTGAGAGGCTGATGAGTTTTAGTTTTCTCCCTTTCGGATTGTTTTAGGCATTTCTTTCCTTCAGAGTCAGGATTCTGATTGAAAACACTTCTGCCATCTGGCAAATCCTCCATGCTGCGAGGAAACAATATCTCGGTTCATCTGCCAGCGGGGATATCCAGCTCAGTCTATGAACATTTAAAGCAGCGTTGCATTCATTTGCAAAAAGACACAGCCAGCGAGACAAACTTGTAACAGTCTCCTTGTTCAAAGTGAAATTTTGGCAGAATGTTTCAGGAGAAATGGAAGTCCAGGTGTGCAGCTAAGGAATAGACATGATTAAAGCAAGTCTTGCATAAAGCAGAGCTGATAGCTGGTCTCTCCAGTTCCAAGGGGGGCAGATTTATCCCTGTGTGGGCAGGACAGTTGCTGTGATTCACGCCGTCCATGCCTTACAATCCCTTTACACCCCTTTCTGGTTAATATCTGAAGACACAAGAAAAATAGCAGGGCCTTTGGTCCTACAAAACTACAAGAAGCATCTCAGCAAGAGGTACAAACACTCCAGGTGTTTAAAAGGGTCACGGTAACAGCACGAGGCACAGCTTGCAGAAGGCCAGCTGGGAGCAGGAGCGAGCACCTTTGACATCTTCCCCTAACCTCACCGGCTCCCCTCCATGCTCACCAAAAAAAAGGCCACATCTGCTTTGTTCAAGAGACTTGTGGCTCTGAAATATCCCCGCTGTAGAGGAGATGCATTTATTGTTGCAAGAGTCCTTTGGCAGTCATGAAGAACACATGCAAGAGCAGGTAAAGGAAACAAACTCTTCTGCTTTACAGAGGTGGAAAAAATATCAAGAACCGAGCCTTTGCACCAGCTAACTATTCAATGGCTTGCCCACCAACAGTTGAATGTCCTCATTAAAAACTAAAATAAAAATCTGATGTGCAAATAACTTAATTCTGTCTTCTGCTTTTTTCTAAGAAAAATGTTTTGTTTTGTTTTCTGGGAAGCTGGAAATCAGTTTGTGGAAACCAGCACAGGATGTATGTCCCAGATGGGGCCATGCAGAGCTATCCCATGCTCTGATCCAGAGCCTTAGCTTTTTGCTACTCAGTGCCCATGAACCCTCTCTCTGCTGAACCTGCTTCTTCCTCTTGGTGTTTAAGTGCCACCGTAAGCAAGTTCTGCCATCTGGGCTCTGCACTTTGTTTCTTGCCTAGCACACAACGTGCTTTAAGGCTTTAACTTGCTGACTTGTGGGAAGTGCTCTGGGAGCCAGGACCCCCCAAACCACAACAGTTGGTCAAAGAAAACCAAGACAGCTATAACACACTGCTTTTATCCAGTTTTTGTCTTTCATCTCAGGTGCTAACGTCTGTGTTTCATGTTTGCAGATATGCACCCGTTGCATAGCTCCTCCCAAGGACTAGTGATGATTCAGTCATGTCACGTTCAGCACAGCAAGAGCCCCCAGGTTAAATAGCAGAGCCCATCAGGAAGGTCAAGCAGTCCCTGGGTGCGCTGGAGGTTTCCACGTGCATTGGGGTGACACGGGGTCATGCTGCTGCCTCCAGCAATGGGAACTCATGGGATTTCATTTTCCTCTCCCTCCACAGAAGGCTCTTTGGCGATAGAAGCTCTCTGCTGCTGAACTGTGCATCTGTGATTCTTCAGGCTTCTCTAGAGAAAAACTATTTGCCCTTCCCAGTTTTGAACTCAGTCATCCTGTATGAGATCTTCACCACTCCTTGGAGGACCAAAATGAAGAGATAATGCTTGGGTCCAGGACTATTATTGCCCTCCTTACAGACATGATGCTCCCCTGCACGGTGTCTCCTCCAAAGCTGCTACACGCAAATCCAGAGGAGATGGAACCACTGAAGACAAAAACGAGCTGGTGCAAACTGCTGCTCTCCTGGGAGCACACACACGGGGGGCAGGACGCCCGCTGTCATCTGAGAGCAGCACGAGTCTGTGTGCAATGCAGGACACCAACATATCTGAGAAACCTTTCCTCACGTGCGCCAAGATCCAGCAATGGAATGGACAGCGCAAAGAGGAATGTGTTTTTATTGAGATGCTCTTATAATTTCCAAAGTAATTGGGGCATAGCTAGGCAAACCCCGGGACTGGGGAGTGATGTAAAGGGAGTCTTGTATCGCTGATTATTGGGGAAGCAAAAGTAGAGGCCTCAGCAATGGCCTGAGGCAGAGAGGACACACTCAGCAGGACCAGATAACACCTACCCTCTCATCGATCAAAAACCAACCCTTGTTATGTTAACCCACCCCACCCGCACCTAAAGGTATGAAGCAAGAGCGCGGGAGTAGAGGGAGGAGCAGAACAGGCACGTAGAAAACCAGCCAGCAGCCTGAAAACCAGCAGAAAGGTGAACTGGAAGACTGGGAGAGCAGCCAAGAACCAGCTGGGACGTTCCCTGCACTGAGGGCAAAGTCAGCCGGGGCTCCAGGCAGGGACCTGCCCGCGCTGCTGCTGCCTTGCCCGTATTTTGGGGAAGCTGCTGGGGGGATCTGGGGCTGGGAAACCCTCCGAGGAGATGGGCAGCAAGGAGGCACGCAAGGCCCGTTTCGGCTGAGGCAGGGCGAGGGCAGCAGAGAGCTGCAGCGTGTCCTGGAGTAGGAAACAGCTTTGAAGGCTTTGGGAGGCCGGGGGGGGTTGGTTGGAGGGCAAAAGCTGAGCTGAACCTTTTGGTACTTCACCAGAAAATTGTTTGCAGAAGGCCACAGCACTCTGAAGGACGTTGCCTTCGAAGATCACCACACAAGGTGGATGGTACGGCCAGGTGGGCAGCAAAGAACAGGATCCAGCACCGAGCCTCCTGCCCCACAGCCCTGACTCCATCGCTCCCGGCCCTGGGGCAGCTCTGTGGGGCTGGTGGAGGACACTCGGTGCTGGTTCTGGCTCTGGCCTTGGACGAGGCTGCTGTGAGGAGCAGCAGCGACTGCAGTGGCTGACAGGAAGCTAGAGCGTGAGGGGCTGGGTGCTTAGGGTTGACGTTATTAGCTATTTCTGTTTCTGAAACTATTTCTGCAACTGCTACCCAAAGGATCGCTCGCTCCCAGCAAGAGGAAGTGGTCAGGCAAGAGGACACGGAGGCAGGAACATGAGCCAGCAGAGCCCCCGGGCAGCGGAGGCAGGCAGGGCTGTCACCACACATTTTCTGGGCCTTGCAAAGGTCCAAAGGTCCAAAAAATGGCAAAGACCACAGGCTGACGTTGCCTCGGTGGGCTCCAGTTCATGAGAGACACCTGAGCAGCACGGAGCTTCTTGGGGAGTTTGCTGGGAGCCCAAGGGCTGAGCCAAGGAACAGAAATCAGAGCTACGCATGCCTCACCCGTGAATCATCTCTTCTCGTGCCTGTGTATGTGCCCTGGGGAAGGTGACCACAGCATCACGGCAGATTACTAATGGAGTAAAGGCCACGGAAGATCAACAAGATCGTGTCCGCCGCAGTAGAGGAGCACTGGCAGAGGAGGTGTCGGATGGGGCCTCTGGTCCCTAAAGGGATGGTGCAGAGCAGGGAAAGGAATTGGGCCTAGTGCTGGGGACCCAGCATCATGGCCTGATCCTTCAAATCCTCCACGTACCTGCATGCTGCCCTCTCAACAGGGCTGGGAGAACTGAGAAGCACGTAGCTGGAGACACCTCATCCTCTGGCAGAGCCCAGGATGCTGCTGAAACAAGAGCTGTACAGCTAGCAGGGCTGCAGAGGAACAGGGTTTCCTGGCAGCTGACAAGCACAAGAGATGGGGGTAATGTCTGGGATCCTTACCAGAGGGATTCTGTCCCTGCCTTGATGCTGCAGCACACGCACAAAGGCTGTGGAGTTACTGGCACAAGGCTGCCCGTTGTGGGAAGCACTGCCTGGTGCCACAGGGCTCGCTCCCTCCAGCCAGCCCGACTCCCTTTCTCTTCCCCAAGCATGTTTCTCTGCCTCCTCCTACACCCTTCTCACGCCCACCAAACTTCTGATTTTATCTTTGTGTAAAGTATATGGCATATATACAGTACCAAGAATCACAGGCAGGATCGTGCAAACCTTTGCTCTGGAATTACAGGCTCCAAAATTTCAGAGTTGTTCAGGTCTCCTGCTGCTCGGGAGCTCCAAGCACTGCTATTTCGTCCTGGGTCACTAAAATCACACTCCAGATATCAAGCATTGTCTCATTAATTATAATTACCGTTGTTATCTCATGCAAACCACCTGCCACTGACACGGCACATGGGACTCCTCACTTCTGCACGCATTCATCTGTGCTACATGGCAAGGCACACGAAGATGTAGCGTGCCGATAACGCTGTGTTACCCATCCGGGTGATGAAATGTAACCTGCCTTGTGAGACTTTCACCATCACCACCACAACTGCCGTGCTCAGGCTCTTCACACCCATGAACCAAGTGACAATTTGCATCGCTGACATTTTACCTGAGGACATAGCCCACCATCCATACACAGGACAAACACCGAGAAAAACACAGGGCTCATTTCGTGATGCCTGGCTCCTGAAATTAAAACATTTCATCACATCTTCAGAGGATAGACAAGAACATCCACCCTTTCCCCTGTACACATCACAGCCTGTAAAAGCCACCATGTGATACCTGCTAATCAGCCTACGAGTTAATACAGGACACCGAACACTTCAAATTTGCAATTTAACTTGTGAAAAGAATGAGATCAGAGGGACCGTGCATCACCGGGGAGTTTGTTAGATGACAGGTCCCCAGGTTAAGCTAGAATAGTAAGTTTACTTCACACAGACACGCACAAAAAGTCTTCTCATCAGTGCAGGCGGTAAAACATGAGGCAAAAGCCACAAGCTGTAGCTGGAGAAGTTCGGAGTGACCATTAGGAAAAGCTTCTTCATTAGGAGCATAACGCAGTGCTGGCTGTGCGAGGTCTCCATCCTTGGGAAGATTTTCACGACCCAGCTGGACAAAGCCCAGCTTAGACAAAGCTTAGACTGCCAGACCTGCAGAGGTCTTCAGCCACCAAATCCACAGCAAGGCTGACTCACGTAAGGAGGGGGATTCCTTTTAACCTCAAAGCCGAGAAGTGATCATTGTTGACATTTTTGTTAGCTTAACAGTGCATTTTCAAAACATATTGATGCTCCCAGTGCCTCCATGGCTTACCGTGGGCAATGCAGAGAAGAGACCCAAGGTCTGCTGCATTCACTGGCCAAAAACAAGGTGACTCAATCGGTTTAATAGCTTTAGAAGACCTTAGATAATTCTTACCTGTGCCTCAGTTTCCTCCCCCACGGATCTCAAAAACAGACAACAGGAAGCTTAATTGATAGCTTCAAAGCAGCTTGTGAGATCTGAAGATGAAATGCAAACATAAAAGCAAAACATTGACCAAGAAAAAAAAAAAAAAAAAAAAAGCATTATTTATTATTTCATGTGCCCCAAATTCCCCCAGGCGAGCTCAGAGTCCTACATTGCTGGGCACTCTGCAAAGCGTACACATGGAAGGCGACTCCTGTTGTGAAAATCACTGCAAGCTTGAGAAGCGGCACGTCTCCTCACCACCTATTTGCCGTAGCCAGCCACCGGCTTTGAGCAGGAGGGCGTCTTACTCCCCTGGGTGTTTCAGCACCCTGGCTGCAGGGCAGGAGAGCTTTGCCAAGGGAACACCACGGCTGAGTCACAGCCCCCATGCCTGCTGCTCTGGGCCTTCTTCACGGTGCCCGGTGCCAGGTGAGGAGCGGCTCGAGAGCGGCTGTAGGAACGCTGGGCTGCCCAACCCCAGCACTTTCCAACCACGTTCCTGGCTGCTAACACAGCCGCTCTTCAAAAAAACCCAAGGGCAAGCTGCCTGCCGCCGGTGGCTGCCCCTGCACAGCCCGGCATGGGAGGGCAGCAGGACGGATCCTGCTCCAGCACCTCCCAACCTGCACCAAACCCCAAGCTGGGTTTGTTTCACCCCACGGTGGGCACAGCCCACGCTCAGATCCTCGTCCCTAACAGCATGGGCACACTGTTGGAGGGTTTGTAGGAACACCTCGGGTCTCGCCAAGCTCTCAGAAACAAGGAATTGCTTTTGGCACAGCATGGCAGTGGGCGGCAGCGCCCAGCTCTGAGATATCTGCGGGGCTGTGGGCACAGGAGCAGCACTGGGGGGCTGATGGCCGGGCCCCCTCCCCAACCACCAGGGCAGGCCCATCTCCCCCGACCCCATCTCTGACCCCATCTCCATCTCCCCCTGACCCCATCTCCCCCTGACCCCATCCCCATCTCCCCTTGACCCCACCCCCATCTCCCCCTGTCCCCATGTCCCACAGGACCCCCCGTGAGGCCCCACCACCCACACCCCCTATTGGGGACCACCCAGCCCCATGCCCCCCCCACCCCAAACCCCTCAGAGGAGCCCCCTCCCATGCTCACAGCTCCCACCCCCCCCTCCCCATAGGCCAGGGAGGGGCCCGCCATGCCCCAATTGGCTCCCTCAGCTGCTCGTCATGCCCTTGGGGTATTTAAGCTGGGCGAGGCCCAGTCCTACCTGTGCTGCTGGTGCTGCTGGAGCTGTGCAGGCAGGTGAGGCAGGGCTGGGGTTTGGGGTTCTGGGAGGGAGCTGGGGCTTGGTCCCATGTTGGGGGCACTGGGGGCTCCCCAAGGGTGGCTCCTGCTGTCCTGGGGGGTCTGCAGCACCTTGCTGTAGGGGGCTCTTTGCAGCCCTGCTGGGGTGGAGGGCTGGGGTCTGAGCTGGCTCCATGTCTGGGAATGGTTCCTGGTGCTGGGGGAGAGCACTGAGGCTGTAAGAGCCCCGCTGGGGGGCTGGGTTCCCTCATTTCTGCTCATGGGGCTGCTCTGGGTCCCTGCAGAGCATGGGGTCATGTGCTGTCTGTGCTGCTTTCTGCTGTCTGGGGGTTGGAGGGGGACTTGGGGAGGGTTGTCTTGAGCTGGGCTTCTCGAGAGCCACAGGTGGCATCTCCAAATGTCTGTGCTGCACATGGTGTGCCTTGGGAAGGAGGTGAAAGGCTCCAGATCCATCCCACAGACTTCTCCCAGCCCCGAGGTGAGCTCTTGGCAGCCATACAGAGCCTTGAGCTGCGTGCAGGCAGCTGCAGGTCTGAAAGCTCTTCCATGCGTGTTGGCTGGTGGTAATCAAAGCAGGGTGAGGGGTCTGCAGGAGGCTCCACCACGCGGGGAGCGCGTGATGTGGGCACCCCACGGGACATCGCCGCTGACCTGCGATCAGCTGGGCATTCCCTTCCTGTTGACAGCGCCGCCAGACCTGCCTGCAGCTACCTCCCAGGGATGATCAGCGGCGTAGGCATGCTAATGGCGTTAACGAAGGGGAGGGCTGGAGTGACAAGGTGACTTCTCCCTTGCTCAAGAGCAGCCCTGTCTGCAGAGGGAGGCTGCGGCCCTGCACCGTTCGTGCTGGCTGGTTGGAATGAGCACTTGACGAACTCGCTTGGTGTTTCTCAAGACTAACAGGATTCTTTGTGGCTGTGTGGAGCGGTGTGGCTGTGAAGGACTTTGTTTCTGGAGTTGGTTCTGCTGAAACTGCCGGATTAAAGTGGCTGTTAGTGAGCCAGCGGGGCATGTTTCTTGCTCTGCAAGTTGCAGGTGCAGCCCAGAGCCCTGGGAGTGCTGTGCTCGTGGTATAATCTGTAGATGGAAAATATGGGAAAGCCCAGGAGCTGTCCTACTTCGGGAAAGAAGGAACAGGGTTTTCTAGGAGCTTGGGTAGCTTAAACATTAACTGTCTCAAGGAGATGCTTAGTAAAAGCCACTGGATGTGATGTCCGATCCCCCTTGGAACTGGGGGAGTGAACAATCCCTGCCTCCTGCTAAAATAGTGTCTCTAGTCTTTGAGGTTCCCTAATTCTGCTGACCTTTCCATAAAGGTGGTAGAGCTGTAATCCTGCCAGCAATCCTGAATCTTAAGTCCCAGGGTCAAAGCCCAAATCACCTAATTCCCCTCCTAAATCTAACTTTGCCCTCTGAGTGTTTGCAATGCCTTGGCTGTGGGCAGTGCCGTTCCCCCTGCAGCAGGCATCCCGTGACCCTGTTCTGCTGGCTGCTTTTAGGGTAACTGGGGTATCACTGGCAGATCTGGAAAAGAATGCAAGTGAGTGCTTCAACCGCAAATTAATACCTCTGCCCTGATTAGCCCTACTTGCTCATATCTAAATTGCTAAAATTAGCTTTGTTTTTTACTGCTCATTAAGGAGCTGCCAGTTAAGCTATTGAACTAAGCATGCTAGCTATGGCTCAATCACTTTTCCCAAAATAAAATAATTAAAGGGACTTTTCAACATGTCACCTCTCTATCCACAGGGCAATGCCACACAGGCTAGCTTTGTGGGGCAGAGCTTGTTTCAGCAGGGAAAAATAAAACCTTCTGCGTGTTAAAGATCTAGTTTTATGTCTGCTGGGCACTGTCGGAGGCAGAGATGAGGGGAGCTGCTTACCCCAGCAGAAGAATACCCTTCTGCCAGGCAGTGCAGTGGCTGTGATATCTGATCCACAGCAGCTTTGGTGTGCTGGTGTCAGGGCTCTTCCACCGCATTCAGGCTTCTGCCAAGTTGGGCAATGACCAGTGGTTGTGTTCCTGTGCCATGCCACAAGCGTGCCCTGGGTTTCATCTTTCTGAAATGACCTGGCCTGAGGACTTTTTCCAGCGGTGACCAAACATTTTTCATGCAGCAATGGCACGAAACCACTGGCAAGACAAAGCTGCTGTGAGAACTGCCCGGTTGTGTGAAACAAACAAAGTGGTGATGCTGCTTTCAATTTCCTGCGTGTTTTCCCCTGTGTGGGGCTGTGGGCTGGCAGACCGGACTTCTGTTTGCAACTGCCCCACCTTGAAGCTCTGCCTCTCTCAAAAGAGTGTGAAACAACTGCTGTGGAGCTTCAGAGTGCTGGGCTTTCCTGTGATCGCTGGGCAAAGTGAGGGCTGCTCAGCACTTGTGCAGGGGAGAGCACAGAAAGAGAAAACAAAACCACGCTGTCCATATGACTCATGATGAGTCCACAGCACAACTGCTGGCATTGCAACACACCCGGGGCCTTCCTCCACAGGAGAGCAAACCCTGTTCTAACACGATTGTGCTGTGAGGATTGTCACTGCCAGTGGCATCCCTAATTAAGGTGGGCTCCTGGTATTTCAGGGGCTGATTCTAACATCCTATTTTTTACATCAACCAAGGAGTTGCTCCTGATCTATGCTAGCAACTAGAGTATTTTAATGTATTTCTTCTCTGGTTTGTTCTTTGCGAACCCTGACACCGAGGCTGGTAAGATATTCTGTGGTTTAAGTTTCTTCCACCTGTCTAGAAGTGAAGCAACTCAGCCAAGGGGTTGTTTGGAATGGTGTTGAAATAGTTGTGCTTTGCCCTGCAACAGCTCTGCAGACTCATTCAGCCTACTCAGCTTCAAAAAAACAAATTTGTTCCTCAGCAGCACAAGAATAGCTACTGAGCAAACCATGTGGACTTTGGGACTGAGGCTTTGCACTCAAGCCCTGTTTATGCTTGGAGCAATCTTTTAGAAGCTTTCCCAGGCTGCTGAAGTGCAAGCTGTGTTTCACGTGGTGTTATATTAGGCAGCCTGACAGGCAGGTTGGTCACCAGGAATGCCCAGAAGGGTGCTGGCTCTGGGTTTCCCACTGGAGAGGATGGACATCCCTATCTGTGATACGTCTTGCTGTGGGCAGATAGTGTTTGGCATCCCCGCCCTGTCTGAGTCTCACTAAAATGCCAAGTAGTTGCATATGTGACTTGCTGGGCTGTCAAGGCCCATGGTATTACCTGCTGAGAATTTTCTTAGTTGTATTGTCAGCCCAGAGTCAGAAAATGTTTGTCTCACTGTTTGTTCTCCAGCCTTCTTGTGCCCAGAGCAAATGGGAATCTTATCCAAGTCAGAGTTGATGATAAAGTGTCACAAATCAGCTTTTTTTTGGTGAAGTCTGTCCTGGGAGCCTGGAGTTGTCCTTGGCTTGGGGATCCTGTTTATTTTTTTTCACTGGAAAATGTTGTAGGAATTGTAAGAACAGGGGTTAACTGGTGTGTGAGGAAAGCAGGTGCTGCAATGAAGAGCAAGTGTGCTGAAGTCTCTGCTCTGCCCGACTGAGGCAAGATGAGATGTAATCTTGGATTTATCATGGCACTGGAGTGTCCAGATACCAACCCAGTTCCATGCTCGGGAGGTCGATATTCATTTGAGATATTGCATCATTTTTATACTTCAACTTCTGTAGTCTCGTTAGGTAATGAGAACACATCTAGGGCTTAGTATCAAGGGAAGTAAAGGAGAGATTTGCCCTGTAGTTCTCCTAGCAGCTCAGCTGGATGTGGACACAAGCTTTGAAGTAGATGATTAGAATGCTACAGCAGCAGAAGATGACCTTCCATTTTAGGAAAAATCAAATATTTTGATACCTCTTCCAGAACTGCGAGACTTTCTGTTGCTGGAGTTGGTAGTGATGATAAAGAGGCATGGTGGGACTACTCTAAAATGAGTAATTAAAATGAAAATAGAGTATTGGGAAAGCTCAGATGTTTCTTCAATAGTTCAACAATAATGGAGTTTGAAACAAACAATGAGTTCATCTTATGTAATTTGAGTTTTCATTTCAAAACTTATCGTAGTTGGATTTCATCAGGGCTTAGTACAGCAGTAACCTGTCACATCTGAGGCAATGTTCACGTAGCTTATGCCACTAAACCTGCGTCTGCAGGGTGCAGCTTTCCTTCCTTCCAGTCCTTGGGCAGTGAAGAGCCCATGCAGTGGGAAGCTGAACCAGGAGTATTGTTGTAATGTTACGCATTATCTCTGCAGAAGTTCTCACCTACTTCTGACCCCGTATCTTCGAAGCAAGACAAATCTTACCAGCAAGAAAATAAGTAGGCTGCTTTGTTTAAAGTATCTAGCTGTGTGGGGATTGAGGGATGGGACTGAGTACAGCTGTCCTGTACAAGCATTTGGACACCATGCTTTATAGAGCCTCCCAAATATCCTCACTTTCTTGTAAGAAAAATTAGTGATTTCACGAAGTTCCTGCACTGTGCTGGATCTTGACTTTGTTGCCCTCTGCTTTTCAATGGTTTTGGTAGGATTGTAGTTCACTTGAGGAAACTGAAGTTGTACTCTGTGACTACTTCTAACCTTTCAGCTGCAGTTGACTTCACTATGGCATCAAAGAAGACCACGCAGAATCTGCCAGAGGCTGAGGACCAGCAGCAAGAGGTAGGTGCCAGATGGGGGGGTACTCAAACACGCAGCAGTTAAACTACCTGCTGACAGCTATGGTGGTTAGCTAACTTGAGTCAGCATCTCAAAACCACGCTGGGAGTAGCAGGAAAAATTAACCAAATGAAACCGTGGCTAAATCTAAACACAGTACTGAAGCAAACTTTTCTTGCTCAAGAAGAAATTCCAGGGCTGGCTCAAATAATGCAAATAATTCTGAAGTGTTAGCTGTTATCAGTCCTATTTCTACATCTGGGCTTGACAGTGCTAAAATCCAGTGACTCAGCAGTGACAAGTGTACAGCTCCAACTTCTAATCCTGGCTTGCTGCTGACAAGGATTTGTCTTTGGGCAAATCCCTTCAACTCTGTACTTAAAAAGGGTGATGAGATGGACTGGGTGTTGCTGTGGAACTTCTGATGTCTTGTATTCACTCGTCAGCTTGAGGCTGGCTCTCAGAAGTCACTTGTTTCTCTCTGGTTTTAGAGCGCTGTCGATCGGGTGACCAGCCTGCCCTTGCTCAATTCCGCATTCAACCTGGTCTCGTCTGCCTACAACCACACCAAGGAGACCCATCCTTGCCTCAGCGGCGTCTGCAATGTGGCTGAGACTGTGGCTGCTGTTGCAGTAGGGAGTGTGGTCGGTGGGGCACAGCCCATACTGAACCAGCTGGAGCCACAAAGTAAGCAAGGAGGCTGGGGAGACCCTCCCTGCACGGAAGGGAGTAGGTGGCAGGGGAGCTTCAGGGGCCTGTCGGGTGACATCCATCTCCTTCAGCACACTGTTCACGTTAATTACAGCACTGAGTCATCCCCTGTTCCCAGCTGCTCAATAAATCCACTGAGTTGGATGGATGTGATATTACTAGCAGAAGTAGTCTGGCCTCCTGTCTGTGGGTTTTTTGAGTCAGGAGAAACTCCTCGCCTTTCTTTCACTGCTCCAAGCTATCAACATCCCATCTGGTAGTATCAGTGTCCCTTCTGGATATTGCTCAGTCTCTTATCCCAACCCTTTAACCGTCCTGCTCACCAGAGACAAGGACTGTACTGCACCTGGAGTGAGGAGCAGCCAATTGCTAGGAAGCTGGGAAGGCAAAATGGAGACTGAACCTGCCTGAACTGAAAGGCTTGCTCGCTTAATGAGACACCCCCACACTGCACCCCAGAGCAGTGATTTTATTTGTTCATAAGTATCCCATATTGGTCATTATAGGGTCAAAAATCCCTTTCCAAACTGAAGACTAAACTGGTACCTCTCCTTTTTGTCTAGTTGCACTCGTAAATGAATATGCTTGTAAAGGATTGAATCAGCTGGAGGAGAACTTGCCTTTCCTTCAACAGCCAGCAGATAAGGTAAAGTAAAAAGCTGTTCCTGGGGAAGCCATGGCTTGCTCTCTTGCTATTTGGAACTCTTACGTGTAAAGAAGAGCTTGGGGAAATAAACTCGAGCAGCACTACTTTGTGAGGTCAGTCCCTGGTATGGGCTAGGGGAATTATTGCTAGCTGATAAGGGCTGGGGATCTGTCTTCAGCACGTGGGAATGAACACAGCCTTGTGGGACACTGGGAAAATGCACCTGTATTTACAAGAGCACAAGCACAGTTTAGCCACGTGCAAAAGCTACTTTAGGGCTTATTTCAGGGAAAAAAATAAATCTCTTTGCCCCTTCCTGTTGTAGGTAATCTCAGACACCAAGCAGCTGGTTTCCACCAAAGTGATATCTGCCATGGATGCCGCCTGTGAGGCGAAAGAAGCAGTGGCTGATAAAGTGACTGAAGCTGTGGATCTCACAAAAAATGTTGTTGGGGACAGCGTTAAGCTGACCAGGTCAGTGGTGGCCTCCAGTGTTAGCAGTGCTGTGGAGGCCGCCCAGGGTGCCAAGGACCTCATGACCAACAAGGTGACTGAAGCAGTGGACCTCACTAAGCACATCGTGGAGGACAGCATTGGCCTGACCAAGTCTGCGGTGGCATCTACTATTGTCAATGCTGTGGAGGCTGCTCAGGGGGCCAAGGAGCTCATGACCAACAAGGTGACAGAGGCCGTGGACCTGAGTAAGCACATCGTGGAGGACAGCATTGGCCTGACCAAGTCTGCGGTTGCTTCCACGATTGTCAATGCTGTGGAGGCCGCCCAGGGCGCCAAGGAACTGGTGACCAACAAGGTGACTGAAGCAGTAGACCTCACTAAACACATCGTGGAGGACAGCGTTGGGCTGACCAAGTCTGCGGTTGCTTCCACTATTGCCAGTGCTGTGGAGGCTGCCCAGGGTGCCAAGGAGCTCATGACCAGCAAGGTGACAGAGGCTGTGGACCTGAGTAAGCAGATTGTGGAGGAGAGCGTTGGACTGACCAAGTCTGCAGTGGCATCTACTATTGTCAATGCTGTGGAGGCCGCCCAGGGGGCCAAGGAACTGGTGACCAACAAGGTGACAGAGGCAGTGGATCTAACTAAAGTGGCTGTTCAGGATAGTGTTGAGAAGACCAAATCAGTGGTCACTTCTACGGTCAATACAGCCCTGGATGCTGCGTTTAACACCATAACTAGCAAAATAAACACAGCCCTTGAGCAGAGCAGAGAGGCCATCCAGGAGAGTGTGGAGATAACTAACACAGTGGTGAACAACAGTGTAAGCAAAGCCAGGGCGGTGGGCCAAGCGGTGGCAGGTGGTGTAGAATCTGTCCTGGGCATATCAGAAGATCTGGTGGATCAATACCTCCCCATGACACAAGAGGAACTAGGTGAGAAAATGGTTGGCTGGCGGTTGTAAATGCAAAGCCTTTCCTATGTGACTAGAGAGCACCTGATGCTGCAAGTCACCTGAAGTAGGCAGGTAGCTCTGAATTTGTCATCAACTTGGCTTTGTCAACACTGACTGTCCACGTGCTACAGGACAGAGTTCAAGCATTTGCTAGCTGCTTCTTGCCCTTTAGCCTCAAGACAAATCTATGGGTGTCTGCTTCAACCTATCTGTCAAGTCTGTTTATTTGGAGAGAACCCTGAGTGGGTACTAGCCTACCTTTAACATCTGAGCAACTGCAAACGCCTGGTGTTTATACAGCAAGCTTCAGCCTTTGTGTCTTACAATGGGAGCTCTTACCTCTTTTTTTTTTTTTCCCCTGCTCTTTGCAGCTGGGGGAGTGGAGCACAGCTACATCTCTGTTCTTATTTCCTCCAGGTAAACTTGCCGCTGCTGAGGGATTTGGTATGGCTTCTGTGGAGGAGCAGAAACAGCAGCAGAGTTACTTCGTTCGTCTGGGTTCCCTCTCTAACAAAGTCCGCCACAGAGCCTACCAGCACTCCCTGAACAAGCTGCAGCATGTTAAGCAAAGACTCCAGAACACACTCTCGCAACTACAGCTGGCAATAAACTTGGTACCAACATGTTTTTTTTCCCTTTTCCTTCCATTTGTAGTCTTCCTGCTGTAATAGCCAGATGTAGGTGCTTCTTCCATCCTGCACCCAGCTGTCCTTCTGGGCCTCTCCCTGTCTGAAGTGCTTAGGACCACTTCTGCTTCACTGATTGTATGTGCTTGCAATCCAACTCCATCTCATTTTTCCCATCAGATTGAATCTGTGAAAAAGGAGGTTGGCCAGAAGCTTCTGGATGCTCAAGAGAAGCTCCATCAGCTGTGGGTGGACTGGAGCCTGACCCAACCCAAGGGACCCCAGGTTCAAACAGCCTCCCAGGCAGAGGTATACCCATGCAGGTGTATGTAATCAGGCCTCTTGTGGATGGTGTGCATCTCATCTGCTATAGTAGTTGAGCTATATTTCTTTCCCAGCAGATAGAATCACGGACTTTAACTATGCTGCATATCATCACCCAGCAGCTACAACGTGCTTATGAGAACCTGAAAGTCAGCATCCATGGCCTCCCCAGCAACATTCAAGAAGCTGTGCATCAGGCCACTCGAAATATCCGGAAGCTCCACACTTCTTTTTCCAGTGCTAAGTCCTTCCACGACCTGTCTAGCACCACCCTGGCTGAGAGTCGGGACTATGTGGTAGAAGCCCAAAGATCTCTAAATGACCTGCTCCAGTATGTAACTCAGAACATCCCTCTTAACTGGCTGGTGGGTCCCTTCAGGGCAAGAGTGAAAGAGGATAGCAGAAAGGAGAAGAAAGATGCAACTGAGATAAAATGTCCTGCCTTGGAAAAGGCTGCTACATCAGAGGAGGTGGCTAAGATGCCTGAAGAACCAAAGGGAGCAAAAACAATTCTGGAGGAAGTGTGTGAAGTGCTAGAGAAGATAGAAGAGAAGCTAGAGAGAGACATGGAGGTGGAAATGGAGGTTGCATTGGCTGCAAAGGAGCTAGTAACTAATGCACCAAAGGAAGATCTCTGAAAAATTCCATCCTCTCTGGCCAAGGCCCCTTGGCTAGAACATGACTTGGTCTTTTAATCTTGCACCCAACTGCTGATCATGCCAGGAGTGCCTGTCCCAGGCTGAGCGTACAGTAAGATGTAGTTTGCGAGACTTGATAATCAAGCAGGGGTGATTCCATATCTTGATTTTATTTTTTTTAAGCATGCTGCTCTGAAAGGGGAGTTGGAGGGCCTGTCCTTGGTCATGACCAAAGGACATGGTTGTCCTTTGACAACCATGACGCTGCCCCTTGGGCTGACCAAATGTTGGTCAGCACAGCTGTGTGTGAGTGGCTAACTCTGGGTGAGAAGTGATCTCAAGTTAGTTTTAATGGTGGGTTTTTAATGAATTCATCCAAGCTGTGGAGATTTTAAAGAGGATACTGCACTTGACCTTTAGTAGAGTTTCCCTCCTACAAGTTTAAAACTACACACTACAGACACTACTTCCTTTCTGGCTGTTGTGCTTCCTGAGAAGCTGAGCCCTGCAGTAGACCAGGAACAGCTGGGAGCAAGAGGCTTCTTCTCAAAAGAGACTTCTCAGCAAAACAGGTGGTTTTTCACAGAAGAAACACTTGGCAAGGTGGGATTTTTCTTTTAAGGGTGCCAATTTGCAGTGGGACTGTCTTTCCTAGTCATGTAAGTGATTTCAGGAATCCTCTGTGTGTAACTCTGTCAGTGATGTGTTTTGCGGCTTTTGCCAGGAGTTATTCTGCTGTGTTTATAGATATTCAGTCATTAAAATAGAGATAGATACTGCTATTTTTTCCAAGCAAACAATACCTTGTAGTCATCTGTAATACAACTTATTTTGTCCTGGTATGGCACCATTGCTAGAATTAGAGTAATGGCAAAGAGGCTTCAAAATAAAGCTTGAACTGCTGTCAAATAAATGCGTTTCTTCTGTCTGTAAAGCTGCAGCATCGCGATCTTTCCCTTAGCAGTGGGGGGTGGGAAGCTTGCGTTTAACAACTCCCTTCTCATTATTTTAACCCAAATGCTCTTAGTGGGTCTACTGTCTGCCTCAAATTTAGGAAGAAAAGGATTTTGGCAGGGCTGTCTGTCCCTGTACCCTGCAGTATCAGGTTCCTCTCTACTCCTATCTCAAACGTTTTGCAATGCCATCCCAGAAGCAATGCCCACAGCCTCTCGCTAGAGGAAAACGTTGGTGCCCAGGTGGAATAGTGCTCGCCAGCTTGGCTTAAACACTTCATTAAACATTTTAAAATCTCCACGACTCCTCCAGGGGGAGGCTGGGCCTACACCCGAGTGGCTGCAGGAGCCCGGGCCCGCTCCGCCCCGGCCCTGAGGCCTCGCCCCGGCCGGGCCCCGCCGCTTCCTCGCGGGCTCCCAGGGCCCGGCCCCAGCCCGGGCTGGGCGAGGAGAGACCGAAGCCTGGAGGTCGAGACCCGGAGGCCGAGGCCCGGCCGGGATTTGCGGCGAGGCGGCCCCGGGGAGGCCGGAGCAGGACCCGCCGCAGGTAGGCCGGTCCCGGCCCCAGCCCCGCCGCCGAGGGGGGCGGTAACAAAACGGGGGGAAAAAGGTCTAAAAGGTGTAAAAAGGAAAAAAAAAAAAAAAAAAAAAAAAAAAGGTGCTGAGCTCCGCGGGAACGGGGGCACGTCGGGGCTCTGCTCCTCATGGTGGGGTGAAGCAGTTGGGGGGCACGGCGAGAGGTGGCAGAAATTGGGGTGAAAGCCAGGCCTCTCGCTGAGTCACAGCGGAAGGGCACCGCCGGGTTTCAAAGTCCTCCATCTGCCGTTTCGAGTGCCCGGCCTGCCTCTCCTTTCCTCCCTTCTCTTCCTCTCTGCTTCACAGAATCAGACATTTCACTGAAGGCGCCGTTCACTTCCTCAGGTTTGGCTTAAGCTCACTCGTTATGCAATTAGAGGATTTTGGGGAGATGTAAACAATTTGAAATTACAAACTTTCCCCGGCTGGGTGCTATTTTTAAACATCACGGCTTCCTTTAAATAGAGGGAGCGTGGCCGTCATGCTGTGAGGAGCCTCCGTGAGCATCCCTCGGGCTGCCAGCACTGCTGCCCTCCGGTACCGCCAGCGCTGCCGACTCATTTAACCCCGCTCAGCCGGCTCCGGTGAGTGCGAAGGTTTTAAGGGAGCTCAGGGATTAGATGCAGACAGAGATCGTGACAATGTCCACGATGACATTAGATACCCTCAGAGCAGATTTGTTGGGCTACGGGCCATCAACGTCCTGGCAGGGTGTGAGTGGTTTGGAAGGGGTTCCTCCAGGCACGCTTTATTCCCCAGCTGCCCGCTGCAAGGAGCCTGTGATGCCCCTGGCATCAGCCGCTGCCCTGGAGGAGAAGGGTGCTTGGATGTGCCCACATAGGTTATTAGTTTAGCAGTTATTTTAAAACAGCTAGAACTAATGTGATAGCAAAGCGCAGAGCTTGTTCTTTGCTTAATAACAGAGTTGGAGCAATGCGTGGAGCACATCACGTGCGCCGGTATATTTGTAAGCACTAAATGGATGCAAAAATATGTCAGAGCTGTGAGGATGAGCCTGGGAGCTCCCCGCCTCGCTGTTTCTGATCGTGTTGTGCTGTGTTCTTTCCACAGGTTCATCTGGCCCCTTCTTCAGGATGCAGCTGTCCCTGTTCTGAGATGAGTCCCTGAGCAGCAAAGAGCTCCTGTTTGTGCAGCACATGAAGTACAACCAGAACATCAAAAAGCACAGAGCTCTAAATGCTGTAATATGCTTTTTCCATTCGTGCTGCTTCAGTCCAGCATCTGGGCCACGAGCTGATGAGATGGCACAGAGCGTTGAGTTCCAGCCGAGCTTTGAGGACGTTCTTAATATTCTATCCCAGATCCCACCAGATAAACTCCTTGGCCTCAAATATAAACTGAAGCATTTGGTATCTGGGCGCAGCAGCACACTACTGCAAGCCATGGTCCTGCTCACTCTGGGACAAGAAACAGAGGCAAGAATTTGTCTGAATGCCCTAGGAGATGACCAGGCAGCCTTGTATATCCACCAGACCAAACTGGGCCCTGCAGGACTGCAGAAAGATGGGGAGAATTTGCAGCCCCCCCAGCTGGATGCAGGAGCCATGGAACTTCTGGCACAGATCTACTCACTGCTGGCAAAGGAAGAACTGTGCAGTCACGAAGCTGTGGTCAGAGCTGACCAGGCTGCCACCACAGCCTACAGTGCCAGCGGGGATTCTCAGAGGGATTCACAAAACTGCGTCCTGGCTGGGGAGCAGGAAAAATGTGGCCCAGCTATCAGCACTGGGGGTTGCGACAGCAAGTTTCAGACACTGAGATCTGATGTGAGCACAGGATTTCTCCAGAAGACCATCCCAAACAGCATGGCAAAAAGCTCCCCGGTGCAGATTAGAGCTGCCTCAGACCTCTCAGGCCCAAGGACCTTGCACTCCTCACTGAGCTCTGCTTCTCTGACCAATCTCCAGATCAGTGAATCGCCCACAGCTGTTTTTTGCATGCAGCCTCCTTCCCGTGAGCCCAGCCGGCTGTGTGACAAGGACAGCAGCAGCGCGAGGCAGCCTGCTGGAGGCAGGCAGAGCCACAGCCTGCAGGAAACGGGCTGGGCAAGCAGCTCCAGCGCTCATCCCGGGCTGGACACAAATGCCCAGGTCCCCCAGGAGGAGGCGGCTGTGCATGTCAGTTCCTGCCACCCGTCTCTCCCCATTCCTGAAACACCGCTGCCCACGCTAGGTGCTGTCAGCCAACCTGTTGAAACCAGCGACGTTTCCAGCATAGCGCCAGCAGAGCCACCAGCACCAAAAGAAAGCAGAGACCAAAAGCAAGAACTATCTGCAGGTCTTCCTGATTCAAGACCCACAGTGGATGTTGGTCCTGCCTGCGTGCCCACAAAGGACTCCTCTGTTCCAGTGAGCACTTCCAGCTCTGCACCTGCTTCCACTTCAGCCTGTTCTTTTCCTCCTCATACCTACTCCTCTTCAACCCCTTCCCCTCCTCTTTACGCTACCCCTTACAGCTTACCACATCCTTCTCCCTTCCACTCACCCCCTTCTCCAGCCTGCCCTCCTCCTTTCCAAACTGCCAAAGCAGCATCGGCAGCAGAGCCAGACAGTGGAGAGGGAAAGTTCTTCACTTTTGTTATTCTGCATGCTGGGGAAGACGAGCGTGTTGCCTGTCGGGTGAAGAACCTGCTGGAGGGCATGGGGGTTCCCAACGGTGCTACATTCTGTGAGGACTTCCTTGTGGCAGGACACAGCCGCCTGACCTGCTTTCAGGATGCTTTGGAGAACTCAGCTTTCATCATCCTCCTGCTGACCAAGAACTTCCTGTGCCACCTGTGCATGTTTGAAACAAACTCAGCTCTGATGGAGTCCATCCAGCGACCATCCAAGCACAACTCGGTCATCCCTTTTGTACCCAAGGAGAACCCCCTGGAGCGCAGCGAGATCCCCAGCATCCTCAGCGTGCTGGTGCCCTTGGATGAGAACTCCCCTGGGTTTGCCAAGGTAGTGAAGAACACCTTCACCCACAGAAAGATCAACGAGAGGAAAGCCATGTGGTGCCAGATACAGCAAGTCCGAGAGCACAAAAGGAGACAACAGCTGTTTAAGGATCACTACCAAACCCTGCAGAACTTGGGTGCCCTGAACCTCGGCTCCTTTCCCCAGGTGCCTCTGTCAGAAACACCGTGGCAGCAGCTGGGACAGTTCGTGCCTCATCAGTTGTCCCAGCAGTCCTGTCCCCCTGCTGCCACGTACCCGCCTCCCCCAGCTGCTCACCAGGCTGCCCAGCTGGGCCCCTCTCCTTCCCAACCGTTTCACCTCCCATCAGGCTACCACAACGCGATGCCAGAGGCAGGGGGTGCCCAGCCCATCATCATCCAGCACGCTCGAATGGTTCAGATTGGGAACCACAACACCATGCAGGTGGAAACCGCCGCAGCAGCCCCGCAGGACAGTGAGAAAGAATCCACGGAGAACTCCTGATCAGAGATGCAGGAGGTCAGCCAGGGCCAGAGACATTCATGTTTCATTTCAAATCCTAGATTATATTAATTCTGCTTTCACTGGGGGTAAAAGGTACTATTTCTGGGAGCACAGGAGAAAACCACCTTCTGTTGCAGTGGACAAAAGAGGGTGCACTCTCCTGGGACTACCATCCATGTGCTTATTTTCAACTAACATAGAAAACTATTTTCCTGATTTTCTGAGGGTTACCGGGAGGTTTTAGAAATAAATTTTAATTGATTTGTGTTTCTCCAGTTCTTTCCTGCAGAACTAGGGAAGGGGCAGTTGGGGATGGCTGGAAAAGGGCTCGGCACGGTCATACCTCTGGAGTGGAGGGGGCGGGGGGATGGCACAGCTGGGCTCTGCTTCACAGCCGGGTGCCGACCAAGTGATTTGAGGAAAAAACCTTCAGGGGATGCTTTGGGGAGTCACTGTGGCCTCCAGTCACGGTGCTCAGCACCACGGGGTGTTCTTCTGGCAGTCCTCTCTGCTCCTGGTAGCACCGTATGCTGCTGGCCCTTTGTACCAATGCCTACTTCGTGTGCACGGCGTGCTCCCCTTGCAGCAGCGCCGTTTCCCCCACCCTGCCCCAGCCTGGGAAGCTGCACAAAACTGGCTTCAAAAACGTGTGAGAGGCTGCAGGCCCCTGGGCTGAGGAACCAAAGAGATCACTGCTCTCAGTTCCCCTCTGAAACTGCAGAGAGAAGCTTTGTGTTTGTGGAATAATTCCCGTGTGCCCCTGGAGGCGTGGTTTAAGGACAATATTTCTGTATTTAAGACAACCCTGTTTGACTCAAAGGGCTGAGATAACACATCAGGCACGAGGCTGAGCAAGACTCTTTGCAGTAAAGCTGTGCTTTGGAAAAGCAATTACTTGATGAAGGCAGCACGGAGAGGGGGGAATTTTGGAGGCTGTCTGGGGGCAGCAGTGTGTTCTCCACTCTTACCTGTTTGTAAGAGGTCAGAGACAGGATCAGGCCCTGTCAGAGCGGCTGTTTACAGAGAAATATTCCCTACCCAGATTACCCCATCCATTTGTTACTGCCTTTGAGGGAAAAGGTGGACTCCAAACCAAAAGAGGTGAACAGGAGCGGGGAAAGGCCGGTAATGGGGGAGCTGTTCTGCAGGCCCCAGGCACTGGCTGTAGGATACGGGCTGCCCCTGAGCTTTGAACACCAGGAAGGGATCCGAGGCCAAACGGCAGAGCCCTCGCTCATCTCCGATGGTTTCTGCCGCGGCGATTTGCCTGGTCTGTCAGCAGAGGTCAGCCCAAAGCCACCAGGCGTCTGGGAATGGGACTGCTGCCTCAGGGAGCAGAGCCAAGGCAACAGCAGCCACGGCCCCGGGGGCTCTAACATGTAACATCGAAGGGCCCAGTGACAATGGATTAACTCATTTATGCTTCATAGAGCCTGTCGGGAGCCTCCAAGTGACTGGGTTCCTTCTAAGCATGAGGAAAGAAAGCTCCTAGTTTCCCTTCTCTCCGTCACCTTTGTTTGAATAGGTGTTGTGTTACTGCACCTCCCGGCACGCTGCAGTTGCTGTGCAGCCTTTGGGAGGAAACATTTACCTCCCTCCTTCCCCAGCCATCCTGCCTTCTATAAATAAATGTCATGCAAACCTGGTCAGCTGGAAGCTGCTCTGGCTTGTACACAACCGTGGCAGCCACGCTGAGTTTGCCACGATGGGAGAAACAGAGAAAGACACAGCAGCAGAGCGTGGGACACTGCAGGATTGTTCGGGTGCTTTTTTTTCCTTAAGCTTACTGTGCACGGAGGGCCAAGAGGCTCACGGGTTACTGGGAACAACTTCCACCTAAGAGCCACAGCCCTTTTCAGCCGCAGCTTTGCTCATCCCACGTGTTCAGGGCCCTCTTTGCTGCTGCTCGCCCTGCAGAGGAAGCTTTGCCACCCAGGCCTGGTTTCCACCAGAACGCACGCGTGCTTGTGACCCTCTGATTCTTGCCCAGTTTCTCTGTGAACCTGAGAAATGCTGACCTGGTGCCCCTATCCTGATGCTCGAGGCCACTTTTAAACACCGATCAGATGTCATTAGCAGGCTCCAGAGAGCTTCCGAGATAGAAAGGCACCAGCAATGGCTCCAGGAAAGCCCTGGGTGACTTTCTCCCCCCTTCTGCATTTCTAAAGAAACCTTTTTTCGGACTGCTTTGTCAAGAGAAGTGACCACAGGTAAGGGATTTGGGTATATTAGAAGGGAGAAGAGCACCTCCTGGGCTGCAGAACAAACAAAAGGCAGACGTTGCATTCATGGAAGTGCACAGAACGGCTCCTGGAGAGAAGCGTGCTGCAGGAGGATCTGTAGCCCTCAGTGATGAAACCCCATTCTTTGTCCAGGATAATTGCTCAGCTAACAAAATCATCCCTTCCCACTGCTTCATTTACATCAAAAGATAAAGCAAAATATGTCAGGAAAGGTGTCCTCTCAGTGTCACTGTTACCCTTTTTCAGGGGAAATGTTACAGCTGCAGCACTTCCCATGAGGAAATTCAGGTGAAATGAAACAATCGAGCCCGTTGATCGCAAACGCCCAGCATTACCATATCCACCAGGGCACCATCCCTAGGAAACAAGCGAGAGCTGAAAGGAGAGGCTTACCAGCAAGAAGTCCAAGGCACTTGCATTCTAGCAGCCATTTTTTTTTATTATTATTTAAAGTTAAGAGCGCTCATCAGCTCACAAATTAACAAATTCCATTCCTGCAGTTTAGATCGTTTCAGCCAAAATGAGGGAGAAAAAAAAAATAGAATGCAGCTAAACTATGTCTGCACTTTACATCTCAGTAAAAGTTAAACCTCCTCGCTTTATAAATAAAAGTTATAGTTAACACTGCAAAATGTAACGGCAGATCTGCGGGATCTGTAAGGGCAGAGAGCACTGGGTTATTGAGGCTTATGGATACGCTGGCGTATAAATACACGTAGAGAAGCTTCAGAAGCGTATAGTGCATGGTTGTTGATCAGGGTTCTGCACTCCCCATCTTGCCCTTTCCCAAAGCTCTGAGGCAGCTGTTTCACCCTCCACCGTGCTTTCCATCCTGCCCGGGGCCAAAATATGAGCCACGGGGTGCCAAAGCCCAGTCCCTCCCCCTGCAAGATAAACTGCTGGAACAGCCTCGTGTTTACCACTGCTGTTTACCACCGAGAAGGGTTCTGCTAACGGAGGCAAATACCTACGCTGAGACTACGAATTTAAAGAGAAAAACCAAGTTGTGTGTGGATTCCAATTAGAGAAGGGAGCTTGTCTGAACAGAAGCCAAATGAGATTCCAAATTCAACCCCTGAAGTAGCACCACGCTCAGTGAAGTTACAAAACGAGTCAGAAGCCAAAACCAGACGCTAAGACCCCCCCATGGAGAGGTCTCAGAATGGGATAACTGCCAGAGCCCCCTGGGCTGACACCAACAACCTCAGGAGGCCCCTGTAACTTGCATTTCCTTCTTCCTTCCTCCTCCAGACCACCCTCATGCAAACACCCCACACTCCCTTGCTTTAATAACCCCCCCCCCAGCACCTCCCTCCCTACAGGTACCTCCCGTCCTAGCAGGGTGCCCACGAGCACCCCCTCACTGACGGTTCAAAGCGCACGGCTTTGGCTCTGAACCCTGGTGACACCCACTCTGCACAGCTCAGCGTGAGCATCTGCTGGGCTCTGGGGCTGAAGGACCCCACCTGGGGGAGTTAACGCGTGCAGGGTGGGCAAGGCAAGGGCCTGAGCTCCACACCAGTTTTCTAAGGTCATGGTTTTTCCTCCCCATTTGTAGAAACCAGTTATCTAGCGATGTGACTGTATAACCAGAACTGACCTTACTACATCTTACAGGATGGAAGTAGTCTTGCAGCATAGATAGGGCCTGGCTCTAAAAGAGAAAAAATAACTCAGGTTTATGCACAATCGTTGACATCTCAGGCCTTTAACACCACTTACTACATGGCCAACCAAGAGGGGGAAAAAAAAGCCCTCAGCATACCCAGCCCTAGTGTCATGCAAGGCAACTACCTCAGCAGGGAACGAGCCACGCGGCCGTTAGACTTTTACTGCACCAAATCTGAGAAGGGAGTGGGGAAAGAATTAGTTGGGAGGGATTTTATTCCTCACCGGCATTCCTATCTACTCAGTATTTGGGATGGGAGGGGCTAGAGCACGTATGTGATGTGTAGCTGCTCCAAAGCTTAACGCTGTGTTAATCCAGCACTAACGGCAGAGGCAGCAGGTCCCAGGGATCTCCATTTTCCTTCCTTCTCAGGGCAAGACGGTCGGTAGGGGAAAGGGCAGGGGCTGCAGCCTCCTCTGGATGCAGTGCACTGGAGGTATCTAGTACCTGAAGATGCCAACACTGAGGGACAGCCACGAGCTCGAGCCTGCTCCTCCCCTACCCCTGCACACGCCAGCCTGATGGTGACAGCCGAGGACGAAGCTCGCAGCCCCTCTCAGCGCGGCGCCAGCCTTCAGCATCCTGACAAGGATGGCCCGAGATCTCAGGCTGCTCGACCTCTTCGGGGTGAAACAGGTGAGGGGAAAGGCTGGGGGCTTCAGCTCGCCCAGCCTAGTGCAGTTCAATGAAGGCTTCCAGTTCCTCGGGGATGAAACCCTTGTAGGGAATCTTGTGCTTGTCCAGGGCGCGAGCAGCAAGGCACTGGAGGGTGATGTAGTTGAAGGGCTGCATCATGCTCTTGGTGAGCAGCTTCTCATCCAGCAGCTCGTAAGCAGTCTGCTTGAAGGCATTGGTGGCGTCCATGTGGGCTCCAGCCTCCATCAGGGCACTCATGATCAGCGGGCAGTTGTTGCGGGCAGCGACGTGCAGCGGGGTGTTGTTGTCATAGTCACGGCTGTCCGGGTCAGCCCCGCACTCCAGAAGCAAGTTCACGACGTGCAGCGAGGGGAATTTGCCCACTGGGTAACGTCCCACCGTCGTGGTATCTTTGTCCACAGCCATATGCAACGGCGTGAAGCCGTTCTTGGCCCGGGGGCTGCACTTCAGCAGGCGGTAGATGGTCTGGCGCTTCTGGTGTTCCTGCTCTGGGGTGCACTCCACCTTCTCCAGCAGGAAAACCAGGTGGAGGATGATGGCCAGCGTCTTGGTGAACTGTGCCGAGTCGACTACGGGGTCCTTGCCGTGCACCAGCGCCCTCTCCACCTCCCGGACGCCTTTGCTCAGTACTCCCATGAGATCAGAAAAGCCCAAGTGGGTCGCTAAAGTGCCTTTGGAGCGGTCCTGAAGCACGTAAGAGAAAAGCTCAGCAAAGGAAAGGAAACTACTGGCAGTCATCGGGCTGAGAGGCTCCAGGTTGCCTTGCTGCATGTCCAGAGCGTACTTCCACAGGTTAATGCAGCGCTCGAAATTGCCCGAGTCAGCATAGACTGCCCCTCGGTAACGGATGTAGTAGGAAGTGTCTGGGTGCGAAGGGCCCAGGATGCGCTCTCTGATCAGCAGCGCCTGCATGCGCATCTCATCTGGGTCAGTGATCAGGGCTTCCAGTTCCTCCAGCGAGCTCACTTCCCGCGAATAGTCGTACGCCAACACCAGCTGCCGGGGCTCGGGTTTAGGCAGGTACTGCCCGCCCTCATAGCGCAGCTCCATCGCCCTTCGCCAGTACTTGTGGGCTCCCAAAAGGTCTCGTTTCTTATCCACAAACGTGGCACCCAGCAACTCCAGCGCTTCCACAGCAGCCTCTCGAGTGCAGAACACGTTAGGAACCTGCTGCTCATCCTGACTGGAAGCTGAGGCGCAGCATCTCTCACGCCCCTCTTCTTCGCAGCCCTGAGGAGTTTCCCGACCGGCACTGCCGCACCTCTGATGGCTCCCACCTGACGCACAGGTCCCGTTTTGGTTCCCGGCCACCTCCTCTTCCTCCTGCTGCAGCCCTCCCTGGATGAGGTACTCCACAATGTTGGTGTGACCGGTGACGCTGGCCGCTAGCAGCGGAGTCATGCCGTAACCATCTTTCTCCATGCGAGCTTTGGAGCGGAGCAGCAGCTGCAGGATCTCCAGGCTGCCAGACTCAGCGCAGTCGTGCAGGGCCGTGTTCCCCTTCACGCTCCGGCGGTTGACATCAGCCCCTTTCTCCAGCAAGTACCGTGCAATCTCCCGGTGCCCTTTATAGCAAGAAATCATCAAACACGTGTGTCCATGCCGGTTAGCCACTTCCAGGTCAGCCCCACGCTCCCCGACCAAGTAACGCACGATCTCCAGGTGCCCATCAAAGCAAGCGGCCCGCAGCGGCGTGGAGTTGGTCAGCGTGGTCTGGTTCACCGAGGCGCCGTGATCCAGGAGGCTGCGCACCACCCCCAGGTGCCCGGCCGCGGAAGCCGCCCATAGCGGCGGGGCCCCCTCGATGGTCTCCCCGTCGAAGTTGACGGAGCCGCCCTCCTCCACGCGGGCCCCGCAGTGATCCAGCAGGTACTCCACCACCTCCAGGTGCCCGTGGCGGGCGGCGATCAGCAGCGGGGTGCTGCCACCCCCGGGGCCGTCTCCACCTCCGGGTCCCGCCGTCAGCGCCTCCAGCTCCTCCCGGCTCCGGCTGCCCAGCAGCTTCTGCAGCAGCTTCAGCTTCCCATCGCGGGCCGCGTTGTACACGGCCGTGCGCAGGTCCATGGCGACGGGGGCCGCGGCGACCGCAGCGGCGACCGCACCGGCCACCTCCTGGCCATGGACCGGCTCCTCCGCGCCCCCAACTCGGCCCGGGGCAGGCGCTGGGCGAGGGCGGCCCCCTGGGGACAAGGAGCCGCTACGGGGCCGGAGCCATCCCGCCGGCCGCCCCCCGTCCCGCCGCAGCAACCTTCAGTCTCTTCGCCCGGCCGCCATCTTAGGTTGGAACGCGAAACAAAATGGCGCCCGAGCGGGGCCGGCTGGCGGGGCGGGAGGAGGATGATGGGAAATGGAGTCCCGCGCCCATGAGGGATCCGGTCGGCCCCGCGGGAGCGGCTCCCCGCTGGACTGCATTTCCCGGCAGGCAGCGGGAAGGGGGAGGTGGCCGGATACCAGGAGCGGCGCAGAGATCCCGCGCGGGGCACCTTGGGAAATGTAGTCCGGCCGGGCCCTGGGGACAGCCCCTCCCTAGGGATCCCGGGGGGGGCCGAGCCGCGTTTCCCAGCGGCCCCCGCGCTGCTGGGCTGCTGAGGGCGGGAAGGGGCGGGGAGGGGAGGGGCGGGGAAGGGCGGGGGGGCGGCCGGGCCGGCCCCAAAGCGGCCCCAGAGCGGGGCCGGGGGAGCGGGGAGCGGAGCCGGGTCCGAGCTGTGGCAAAAAGAACCGGGGCAGCGCAGCCCGAGGCCGCTGTGCCAAGCAGAAGTGCTTTAAAAAGCGTTCCGTGACATTAATAGGGACACGTTTCATCGCAGGTTTTATTTCTGATAAATTCCTCGAAGCGATCAAACCCCAAAATAAAACAGCTGCACAGCGTGGTACAGCGCCAGCCCGGCACGTTCTTAAAAATCATTGTCGTGTTTGAAAATATACAGCTTGTTTGCTGAGGGGACACTGGTCTGGAGGTAGCCGAGCTGCCCGCCCAAGCACCACACAACACGCGGGTTAATTCCCCTTGATCCCTGCCGTAGCACAAGATGTACAACTTGGTACATTCCTGAATGGCAACACGGAGCGAGGAACAAATATCTAACGCAATAGTTCAGATTAGGAAAGCTTTAGTTACCAGAACCTATTTTTAGGGCAGAAGTCGAATTTACGGTGCTCTAATCTTTGTATGGGGAATTGGCACAAGGTTTCTGCTGTTGGGTCTTATTTATAGCTGTTTCTTCTTTCCAGGGAAATAAGATTAGCCTCATTATTTCCATTGCTGTTACTCTGTCTATCATTATTATTATTCAGTCCGTCCATCCTTCCACCCATTTAGGTCTTGTCTGGAATTACCTAGGATTATCCCGCTAATGCGCGTTGCCTTCACACCGAATATCATTTTTGTTGCTAAGAAACTGCTTTTGCATAACAGACAGCGCGGGCCTAATTTTCACTCCAGCAGCTGTTAAAGTCAACGGGAGCAGCAGGTGCTCGGCGCTCCTGAGCCGGAGCCAAAGTGTCCGTGGCAGAATTCCCACACAAAGTCTGACTGCACGCGAGCGTGTCATCCACGTGTGCAACGTGCCCAGGGACAGAGCAGCTTCACGGGTAAAAGAAAACGAGCAAAGGTGTCCTTCCACCTCCGGTGTGTGCGTGCAGTGCGAGTGCAGCTTTCTGTGTGCCACAACAGAAGTGGCTGCGTGTGCTGGAAGCTATTTGAGACTATTCCTGTGTCCCCTCCGCACACAGAGGTGTGAATACACACCTATGCTCACAGCTAAAAAACACGTTCTCAAACGTAGATAGCTGTCAGCAATGAGTTTTGGGGCACGTGGTCCGTTTTAATATTAACGTGAGGCTTCCTGTGCGTGTCTGTGTGCATAGCTGACAACATGGAGATGTCAAACAGCTAAAAGTGTGAGCAGAACGTATGTGTGCGTGGCGTGTACCTGTACACAGGGCTGTACACCTGCTTGTGCACCTCCGCGTGTGAAATCCGCAGCACTTGGGCTGTTTGCACTGCAGCAGGTCAAGGCGCAGACACAGACGTAGTGACATTTCCTCTCCCTGTGGGCTCTTTCGCGTTGCTATGGTGACCAGATGCACTCACACTTTTATCTGAAGTATCTATTAACTAAAGCTTCCTATTAATTTCCCCTCCTTACAATGGGTATGGAATTCACCGGAACACCAAGTAAGCTTTTGAGCTCCCAAATTTACATCACAGCCTGCCCCCAGTTCCTGGTGAGCTGTCAGAAACATCACGGGATAGAAGTGCAGCTGATATAAATGTGTGGGGTTTTTTTTGGGAGGGTGTTTTTTTTTTGTTGTTGTTGTTGTTTTTGATGAATGAAGAAACTGCTTAGTAATGAGAATAAGAATAAACAGCACAAGGAGTCTCTCAAAAGCCCTGTACATCCTGAGACATGGATATAGAAGAGCTGAGCCACAGTATCTCACCCCTGAGCCAGCTGAAAATGGATGATTTGGTCTAAGTCAAAGAGGGCTGAACATGGTGGTGGCCAGCTCACGTCAGCTTGCCTTGAGCTGATGTGCTACAACAGCATCAGCCCGAAAAGTCTGGGGCAGGATTTTGGCTGTGAGGGGCAGAAACCAGGGGCTCTGATCAGATTCCCTCATCACATCGGTTCTCCTGCTTCCTTTGGCTTCTCCTACAGAGGTCACCACCAAAAGAATCAATGTCCCAAACCAGGGACACCAGCTCAACACCTGGCATAGAAATAAATGAAGGACTAGAAACCATCACGTCCCTCATCTTCAGAGTGTGTCCTCCACGAGGCCCCGGAGACTCCTGTGAAGGTTTTGTAGCGTAATGCAGATAAAGCCCCAGCCAGTATTCTGAGAATATAGAGGGAAATTAAATACCCACCGGAGGAAAAGAAGATAAAAAATGAGACGTTTTGACAAGGCTGCCAGATTGTGTGGCAGGAGGGTTAATTTTTTTTTGAAACTGCCATTTCATATTCCCTTTCAGACAAGCTGAATTACACAGTACTGGCTGCTGGAGGAGTTGCATAATTTTCTTCACAGAAATAATGACAGGGTACTTAAAAAAAAAAAAAAAAAAAAAGAGCAAGTGAACGGGTGGCTAAAGTGTTGGGCAGAGACTTCAAAAATCTAGGCTGAGATCCTACCTATGCTAGGAACTCCTTTTGTGACCCTGGGCTGGTCAGTTAATCTTTCTATGTTCTATTTCCCTGCCAGTAACATGGGAATAATAACTGCTCTCTGCCTTGCTTATTTAGATGGCAAACTGAGTTTACAGGTGCATCTTCTGGGCTTTTGGCAGCCAAAGCCAAAGAGTTTAAATTCATGCTAAGGTGTGTGGAACAACAACAATACACAAAGTAGATAATAATAATAATAAGAGAGCTTGGTATGTGATCTGGAACACTGTTAGCGTGAGAGGATGAAGAGTTCCTAATGCATTGCTCCATATCTCTTCCCTCAAAATGTGGAGAAGTTTGAATCTGTGCTAATAGTTCCAAAGGCATATAAATAATTTAGGAACTAAGTCCATGTTGTTTTACTGAATCCCTGAGTTACTTCTGAAACTGTGAATAGATAATTTAGGTACCTGCAACATTTTCTGCAAGCTCTTTGTGCTTAGCCTGTTGCCGCATTGAGGGTTAACAGCAGATTAGGGCAAGAGTCTCATTTTTTCAAAGTTTAAATTTAGGTTTAAATCTAAGTTTTTATCAATCTCTTCAGCTTTTACAGGTTTGTCTAATTTGCAGAAGTCAGAAGAAGATGGTCTTTTGCTGCTAAGTCCAGTGAAGACAAAATCTTCTGTATTTTTAAGTAACTACATGAGAAATTTGCTGTACAAAGAGAACAACTCTAAAAATAGTGAGAAATGGCACCATGACATTAGCAGGAACAATGACCCAATACCCAACTTGCCGCAGGGGCTTTTGTCCTGTAACTACCTTCATCATTAAGGCTTGTGATGACATTATTTTCTGTGCTTATATAGGGCACGAGGCCATTGCTACCTGGAAGGAAGGATTTTGATCAGACTGCAGAAGATGAACAGGCAGGAGAGGTATGTTGAGTAACACTAAATCAATGGAGTTTCATTTACATTAGACACCAGCCTGGCAATTTCAACATTAATGGTTGCACTGCTGCCCTCTGAATTTTTGTAGCTTTAATATATCAGTGGGGGAGTAAAAGAGAGGGAGAGCGTGTCGCTCATGCTTATGATACGTGGGTCTTTTCTTTCATGCATCGTCAATGGGTAGCAATTTGTACAGCTGTTAAATTCCTTTAGCAATAAATTTCCTGGGATAAGTATTGCACTGCTCCTACCTCACAGATTATCTAAGATGATAGTAACAATAGTGTCTTTGGATCTGGACCCTCTTTCTTTCAAGCTGAAAGAATGAAAGGCTGAGGCAAATGGCAAGGTAGCAAGAGCATCACATTTGGACCTCTGGCTGCGAGGACTGTAAAGACCTCATCAGATTTGGACCTTCTGGCAGAACCTGGCTGTGAGGACTGTAAAGCACGTTCATGAACCACAAAGCAGATGGATTTGGAGGTCAGTGGCTGTCTTCGTCTTGCAGACATTTGCTCTGGTGCTGTACTGCACTAGCTCTACGGCTGACTTTCCAGATGTGTTTCTGTTTTCAACCTAAATGGCTTAGTTGAAGGAAAAGCCAAAAGGACTTAAGTTCCTAAATCACATAGGCAGTAATCACAGAATCATAGAATTGTCATAGGGACACCTAAAGCTGGTTGCCCAGGGCCATGTCTGGATGGCTTTTGAGTATCTCCATGGATGGAGACTACAACTTCTCTGGGCAACCTGCTCCAGTGCTCGGTCATCCTCACTGTACAGAACTGCTTCCTGATGTTCAGTCAGAACCTCCTGCATTTCAGTTTGTGCCCAGCATCTCTTTTTCTGGCACTGGGCACCACTGGGAAGAGACTGGCTCTGTCCTCTCTGTACCCTTTCTGTGGGTAATAACAATGACAAGTGTGCAATGCTGAGCACACAAAGAAAATGCTCTACAGCAGCACCAACCCAAATTATTAAAGACATTTCAGTACTTACCTTTACCACTGGCCTCAGCAGGATTCAGGAATTTCATTTTCACACCTAAATATCTCTGAGAATAGAGGCTCTGGGTGGTATTGAAAATTCACCCGTTCCGGTTTTTAAAACCCTGTTGGAAGCAGCAAGCTAGACTTTCAAAACAAGCAGGATTTCTAAGTGCCCAGCAGACTTCAGCAGCTGAGGTTCAAGCCCTAACTTTGCCACAGAATTGCTGTGGAGTCTTTGAGTGAGACACTTAATGTTCCTTGATCCACAATATGAAGATAATAATAGTTGTTTTCAATGGGAAATTGCTTTAAAGTAAAAGTAGGTGAGTGGCATGCTTAGAGAGAGCTGCTCATGGCTGCAGGATGAGCCTACAGAGCTTGCTTCTTCACAGACACTCCTCCTGTTGCTTCACCCAGAGCCCAGATTTGGATAACTTCAAGGGGATGAGAGCTGAGGAGCAGAATAAGTCACAGTCTCTGGCTCAGGGACTGATATGACCTCCAGTATGCCAAAGCACTTCAATACGTACTTAGCTTTCAGGTGTGGAGCAGCTGTATCCCAGAGAGGGCTCTCGGTGGGCAGCTGGACCAGCTCTGTGTCCCAGTGCGTCCCGTCAGCAATCTCTCACACCAGCGAGGGTGAAGATCTGCACTGTATGGCAGGCTATGATTTGTTGTCACCTTTATAAGTCAGAACAACAAAATCACTAGTCTTCCACACAGAGCCAGACCACTGAGAGCAGCACCTCCTCCTTGGGGACGTCCTCCTTCATTTCTTCTTCTGTTATCCTTCCTCACTTGTTCTCATTCTTTCAACACTTGGTTCTCATTTCAGGGATGGATGGTAGGCATGTTAGACAGTGCGAAAAAGAAAAATATTGCTCTTTGCGAGACCATGTCAAATCTCACTATAATCGTCTATCCAATTTTGTGACTGTACCTGTGACTTTCTGCTCCATTTTCCCACTCAGAAGACTATAGATGACTATAAAAATTTGGATTTTTTTTTTTTTTCTCAAGGATATCAAGACTCAGCAGGATCTTCTTTTTCCATACCCTGTGATAAACTTCTCCTGGAGTGCTCTGCCAACCTGCCTATCTCTCAGTTGTATCTTGGTCTGACTGAAATAAGTAAACGTAATATATACTTGGGAATGCTAGAGAAAAGGAATCAGGCAGCAAAGAAAAAGATAAGATAATAATAGTGCTGGGTTTCCTGCGATCCTACTGAGAGACTGATCTCAGCAAGAAAAAACAAAACCCTTTTGCCGTTTCCTTTCCTCTGAATTTGTCGAAGAGCAATCTTTATTTCACCCCAGGTTTAGCTTTGCTTCCACTACCCAGCTTTCTGCTGTTAATACCTTGCATATTTCATGAATAACACGTGAAAGGACAATGCTGGCTCACATCCAAGTAAAGGATCTCGCATTATTCCTTTTGACCGCCGTTGTCTGAGCGAGGCAGACTTACCTCAGCCGGTGGAGTCAGACAAGGGACAGAATCCTCCCTGTCGCCAAATCAAGCCTGTTAAATGTACTTTTGTGAGCAGTTGTAAAAAAGGAAAAGAAACAAAAGTATCCTTCAACAGCCTCTGCTCTGCGGAGCTGCTTTGGTGAAAGGCTTCTTTCATAGCAGGAGAAAGAAATTTTCAGCAAAAGGCGAGAGTTTGCTGGTGCTGGCAGAGGTTGTGCCCTGTGCAAGCTCACAGAGCACAGTCCAGCCTCTCCCTCCCTCTCCCCCCTCTCTCTTTTTTTTTTTAAACATATGTGCTTTCTATGGACACTTTAATCAAACTCCAGATGGGTGGTTTCAATCTGGGGATTTGCGCTGCTCAAGAGATAACAATCCTTTGTGCTAGCCTAGGTAGCAAGTGTGTTTGTGATAGCTGGAGCTGATACCAGGAGATGTCCAGGTGGTCTTATTTAACAGGGGGTATTAGCGATACTGCCATTGTCCAGGAAATCAGATAAAACTGCAGTCCAGGTGTTACCCTACACCGTGTTTGTGTAATGACATTGCCAACTGCCGACTGCTGCCTGCATTAAAATAGAGACCAAACACTGCAGAAGGGACAATCCTGGGTGATATTTTCTGGTACGAGCTCACCATCATCCCTAGACCTCCTGGTTTGCACCATTTAAAGTGCAAAATTTAATCTGAACATAAAGGAGAACACCAGTGAACACGCACCCCTTGCTCACACTGAATACAACGTTACTCTGATGCATGCCTGTTCCTGGCCTGTGCTGGGATTTCCTAAATTAAGGCATTTCTTCTAAACTGTAGCTTATTCTCTGCCATACCACAAAGTGTATTGATGAAAATGCTTGGGGAGCAGGTGAGGGGGGAGGAGAGACAAGTTTTAGAAATAAGCTGCCAGGGCAATTCAGTATTCTGCCAAGGGTAATTAGATGAGAGAGCGAATAATAAAGATGACTTACGAACCTGAGAGAGAAAATGGTTGGGGAAGGACTATAATAATAGGACAGGGCAGGACAGGACAGGACAGGACAGAACAGAACAGAACAGAACAGAATAGAATGGAATGGAATGGAATAGAATAGTTCAGTTTAAGGGCACGTTCAAAGATCACCTAGTCCAGCTGCACCAATTCAGGTGACAATACTTTATGGTTGTTCTGGAACTGCACTCTGCCTAGCACAGTGATATACCACACTGGGGAAGGGATTTGCCACAAGTTGTCACTAAACAAGCACGTAATAATCAAGAGAGAAGTGACTGTTTACGGCTTGAGCAAGGGAACGAGGTCCTCTGCTCTTTATACACATATGAATTCCCTTCCAGGAGCGTGGCATTTAGTAGGAAACATAAATTCCGTTCAGCCTCAGAGGTGTGTGAGACTTTCGTCTAGACTTCAGGTAGAGTGATCTGTCTGCGTAGGGCCGTATTTCTCAAAGTGGTATTTTGCAGGATGGGATCTGCCACTTGTAGTTTGTCCCAGAGATTTCAACAGCGTGGAAGCTCATGCCTCCTTGTAATTGTGGCAGGTGACACCCATAGTGCTGAGAAGCCACCGTAGTTTCTTTGTAATTGATTTTACAGATAAGATCTAAACTTAGCTACAGAACACGGTGAAAAAAAAGCCTGCTTAGAAAGAATAGGGACTCAAGAGCTTAGCCTCCGGCTATCTGAGAAGAGGCTGGCTCATCACAGAGAGATCCCCAGCTGCACTTCTAGGCTGTAAATTAAACAAACAGTATTTCCTATACACCAGACCACAGGGATGGTAGAAAGAACAGTGTGGCCTTATTGCTGTTATTTCCTTTGGTTTCAATCTCTGTCCTCTGCCCCCCACCTCTGTCTCAGACTAGTGTTGCCCACTTTACCCGATTTGTTATTTATTACAATGGTTTAAAGAGAGGCAGGGGAAAAAATGCTCAGTGCAAATTATATTTTGAGCTGTTGTGCTTTGCCTCTTTGGTGGATAATAAATCTCTCTGGCAATGCTCCTCTGTATAGGATTTGTCATTAAATGCAATTAAACAAACCCTGCAGGTGTCCATGATCAGGCCTGCAGCAGCCCATTCACAACTGCAATGTTATTATCATCCTGACAACAAAACACCAGATATTTCTTGAGCTCCTCTGATCGATGCGCTTGCCTGACTTGGAACTGGAGGGAGGAGAGAAGGGGGGAACAGAATGGTTCAAATGCTCTTTAGACTTATTGATGGAAAAGTCAAGAAGCTACTCGGCAATCAGAGGGAGGGTGGAAAAAAAAGAAAAAGGCTGAGGAACAGGAGGGCTGAAAGGAAAAAAAAAAAGAATAGAGAAGAGTATCTGGGAGAAAAAAATATAGAAATGAGGCAATGTGTCTCATGACAATGTACCCAGTGATTTTGTTAATGGACAAGACTAGAGTTTAGGAGACATGCAAGTGAGGTATTTTAGGTATGATTCCTCTCATGTAACTCTAGCCTGATAGCAGTTAGGCATTTTGTGTTAAGTGAGTCATGTAGGCACCCTTGTAATCAGTACAAAAATTAATCTCACTCAAAGACAGGGCTTGACTGGTTGGTTGACTTGTTGTCCAGACATACCTGTCTGTCTCTGTTAACTGTAGCTGAATTTAAGTGAGCAGCTCGGATCATCTCTCCAACAAATTGCAAATCCCACCCTTAACAGCCAGAGGAATTGGCTTTTGCTGAATGCATTTTCCTTTCTGTCTTCATTCACAAGGATGCATTTCCCGGTACGGCTATCAGGACTGCGTGCTACAGAGTCGTTGCTAATATTTGTAGAAAGCAGATGCAACAACTTTGCACCAGAATTGATGTGTACTCTGACAATCGGGGATCAAGACAAAGTCCCGTGGTTTATTTCAGCCATCCCAGGCAGCCTGCAGAGTATGAAGGTCAGGGATTCACAGGGGACTGCTTGCCATCAAGTCCAGCGAGAGCGAAAATTTTGCAAACACCGGTCAAATTATTCTGCCTGAATCCTTTGCGCAGCTCAGCCTCAGGGTGCTCTGAGGATAAACCTCTTTCCTCTTCTGTTCTCACCCCAGGAAACCTAGTTTTGTTCAGTTGATTGCTGGGGCACATATAGAATTGCCGTGACAAGGGAGAGCTTGTATTACTGCAGAATCTTTGCAAATGTAGAGTAACACAGAAAGAAAACCATTTTGGGGTTGGATAAAGGGAGTTAAATGAGTAGGCTTCAGTAGTGTGTGTGCATAGGTAGAGCGTAAGGGATGATTGCATGCTACTACAAAACACTACTGGCAGAGCCTTTGACTAATTAGGCAAAGGTGATGCACTAAATCTTTATGGCCTCATCTGAAATGCCCAGATTACTGGCATCAAAAATGAAATTGAGATTATGGCAGAAAGAGTTAGGATTTCTGCTCTCAATCCACGGGTCTCAGGATGACAAATTCCTTGGGCCATGCATCTACATCACTCTGCAGTGCTGGTCTTTGGCTCCTTGGTCACTAAGGCAGTCCAGATGTCCGTACCAAAGAATGTCCCCCTTTTCATGGTCTCCATCTCAAACACTGGAGGATTTCCCCCTGCCACTTTTTATGTCTTTCTTTTCCCCATTGTTTCACCACTTAATCTGCTGGTTTGTGCCATTAGCAAACCAGTACGCAATTACCTGGTGACACAAGTCAGCACTGGTCTATTGAAGCTGGCAGAGCTGCCACTGCCACAGTATCACAGATTTTGGCCTCCAGGTCTCCCCACCAAGTGACAATTCACTGGACACACCAGTGGCTCCCCAGCTGTGGTCCTTGGGTCAGCAGTAGTCTGCAAGGCTATGTCAGAATCCACAATTACTGCCAGTATTTATGAGTAAGCCCGTTTTGCACGGCCTCACACGTAGTACCTAGGAACATCTATCTGATTGTGACACTGGCTCAAAGCTTTTGGAGCCTCATGTGGATGCAAAACTAGCAGTCCTATTGATAGGCATGGCATTGCCTGCCTGCAAGCACTGCTCTGGGTTCCTCCATTTCACTCAGTTTCTGCCTAGACTCTGCTCTCAGACATGTCTGCTGAAATCCAGAAACATCTCTGATTTATTCATCCCAGATGCTGTAGGATTTACACCGGGGCGACAAAGCCCGCACAAAGGGATGTGCTCTATTCTAGGGAGAAAGACAACCCAGCAGACAAGAACTGGCATGTCCCAGCTGCCGGGCTGAGGAGCCCAGTGACTGTTAATGAGTGTCACTGGGACAGATCTTCAGCTGGCGTAAATGAGCGCTAGCTGATCGTAACTCCACCAGGACTTCAGTGGAACTCTGTTGATTTACACCAGATGAGCAGCTGCTGGTCCAGGGCCCGGGCTAGCCGGGGAAAGCCCCCTGGAGTTTCCATCAGTGGGTGTGAGAGTGGGGTAGAAGCCGGCTGTGTGCGTGAAGGGGTGCAGGAGAGCAGGCAGAAAGCAAATGAAGGGAAGAATGTGAAATACGCATCGTATTGGATTGGCTTCGCCAACAAATATACCTTTTCTTCTTTCCGCTTCCCTTCTTCCCCACCTCCAGCAGCTCCTCGCTCACACTCCCTCTCTGCTGCTCATCTCCCTTTGTGCACCTCTTACCCACACTCTCCTTTCTAAACAGGTGCAGTTGCCACTCAATAGACTTTAATTACCACTTCAAGGGCTCTCACCAGGGTCTGCTGGGAGGGTGGAGATGAATTTTCCTGAGGATTATGCGTATGTCTGAGTTCTTTTTAGTCAGATGGCGGTATTACTGTCAGGCTGTATCCTTCGAGAGATTGTTTCTTCATCTTCTCTCTGCTTGTGTTAACAAAAAAACAAAACTGCTGATAAATGAAAAGAAAGCAGCCATTAGCTACGTTAATTATCAGGGCAGCAAACTGGTCTAGAGAAAAATACTCTGAACAATTTTAAATAACAGGAGTCTAAGCTGGACGTCCAAAACATTATTTCTGCTTGCAATGAAAGGCCCAATATTCAGAGGTAGGGAGCTCAGCATCTCCAAAGATTTCTGTGGGAGTCTGGGGTCTAAAAACACAAGTTGTTTTTAACCATTTTACCTTCTTTTTTGCTCTGTGCTCTTCCCATCATATCTCACTGGAGAAATGCACTGGTAATGCATTCTGCTGGTACCCCGGGGGATTCCTCCAGACTGAACGTGTCAGTTGATTTCTGTCTTCAGCATAGTTTGCCTACGATGGAGAGTTATTCCCAATGTTTAGCTAGTAAAATAACATTATTTTTACTATTAAGATCCCCTTCAGAAGACAATCCTGGAGAATGCAGAGCAGAATATTACATCTGTCAGATCTGCTTGAAACTGTTTGCATAGCATGTGAGCATGCATTTGTGTTAAATGCAGATGCACACATCAGGTATACACATGGTTATATGTTCTGGTACATGCAGCACTGGAAGATATGGTAATTGCAAATGTAACAGCACCTTTCGGGGCTGGGAAGGTTTCCAAATATTTTAAAACAATTTTGCTTCTGCTCAATATCAATATTTTTAACCCTTTCATAAAATGAGAAGCAGAAAGAGGATTGTTTTATAGCAAATTAAACTACATTTTCTTCTGCCAGTATTTTTTTTCTTAAGCAAGCAATTGGACAAACTGGGGAAATAGAGTAACCAAAGCTGCATTACTGTGTACATGTTTTCTGTGAAGCATTTTGCCTAGGTCTGGAAGAATGTCATTTTATCTCAGGAATTAAGAGAAACTGCTTGACCCATAAAAACCGAAGCCCAGAGGATCAGCCACACTGGTAGGAACCTGTGCGTTTGTGGCTCGTGGAGCTGGGTCTGGCCCAGCCAGAAGCCAGCCCCTGGCAATTGCACGCACACAGCATTTGAGCTGCTGTTTGGCACTCGCTTCTGTACAGGTCCCCGTGCAAGCAGCAGTGTCCGTGCCAAGGGGCAATCCTGTGCAGTGCTCTGCCTTTACAGTGCACGTGGGGCACTGAGCACTTCTGAGCTCCTGCCACCGAGCCAGCTTGTATTTCTGGGTGTCACCCAGGCTCTTCTTGTCCCTTGGGCATTACTAACCTTGCAGTGAGACTCAGGCACTCGGCTGAGGTTTTTAGGTGTAGTCCTCACCCAGTTGGTATTTGTTTCCCATCCAGCACAGTGCCCCTGTGTGCTGCTGTCTGCTCTCAGCTCTGGGCTCGTACCTGTGGTATGAAGAGAGAAGAGATGAAGGAAGGACAGATGGACAACACCGATGGGAATACGCTAGTGAAAAAGCAGAGTAAACATAATTGCACCTCTGTACTAAGATACCCCTTTGGTCTCAGTTTGGGGATGTTTTGTGCAAGCACACGTTTACGCCATCGTCTCTGGACTTTCTTCTCACTCAGGGGGATCCATTCCCCTCTCCTCCATCAGGAATCCTGCAGTCCCTCCCTCTCCTATTCCTGCCCTCCCTGGCCTCTGGAGAGCTGCCAGCCCTCCCGATGCCTGGAGGCATTCCCATTTTCCCCTAATCATCTCAGGTTTTGTCCTTCCTTCCACTTCCCACTGTAGCTTTTTCTTTCACCTTCTAGGATTTAAAAATTCTCCTGCCTTCCCCATCTCTCCCCTCCCTGCTTCCTTTTCTTGCACATTTTGCTTTCCAGGTCTGTCTCCCACATGTTCTCCTGCCATTGATGTGGGGCTAGGACGCACATTGATCACAGCCATCTCAAACCCATCTCTCTCTTTTCCCAAAGAGCCAATGAAAATGTCACCCATGAGATAATCATCATGTAGCTCACGTCCCTTAATTGCTCTCAAAGTACACATCCAGACTGCAGAGCCTCTTTGAAAGGCAGGTTCTGGCCTTTGGCACATTATTGACAGGCTGTTGATAGGCCCCTTTGTTGAGGAGCAATTTTGTCCCTTTTGCAGTACAATTTTTTTTTATTTTTTTATTTTTTTTTTAAGACAGCTCTTTCAGAAAGAGTAGATTTTAAAAATAGAGCTGAGCTTCAAATGAACAGACTTATTCCTGAGAAACGGTGACATACATGTGAGATGAGAGCTACCAGCATGTTTCATGCAGGACTCCATACAAGAAATCAAAGCTACAATGACTGATAGCCTCCTCCCAAGTAGCTTATTATTCCTTCCCCTCCTAGACCTGGTAATTAGGTGTTTACTTGCAGTGTATTACTAAATCATTAGATGTCTTGTGTGTTCCACTATATGGTCCCTGGCAAACAAGAGAAAGTTGACACTCAAGCTGTGTGCCAACTCATTTGTATCTATTAGTGATAATTCTTTTGTTTATTTAATACCTGCTGATTAAAATGGACTAAGATTTCCTCATCACAGCAGCCCTTCGCTGCCTTAAAAGCTGCATAGGTCTGGGGCAATTGCTTGTGTGCCTGCTAAAAAGGAACACTTGAGAGCAGAACAAAGCACGCTTGCTCCCCCGTTCCTGTCATGGGTAGAGATCTTCCATTAGCAGTGCAGAGGCTGTGCCACGTGGCTGAACCACCCTCCTGTCGGGCACTGGCTGCCCATTGTACACACATGCTAAAGCCACCTCGTTAATAGGAATTTATTTTAACATGTCCTGTGTAAGCTGGGGTCCCACCGTGGTAGGCACCGCATGTAAATCTTGAGTTAACCCCGCTGAAGCCTTCGGCACGGCTGTGCTCCCGAGCTCCAGGCTCTCTCTAACTAGACTTCCACCTAAATCTAACAGCAAAATCTCCAGGCTATATGCAACTAAAAACCAATCCTGCAAGAAATGAAATTCTTTCCTCTCTGAAACAATGTCCTCCGGAATGATTTTGCTGTTAATGAACCCCAACTGAGCTGCTGTATTTTGGAGCCACTGGTGTGCATTTTAACAAGGAGCTCTCTGTGTGTGGATGTGCATCAACATAGCCAGCCCCCATAATGGAAGTCTGTTCAGCATCCTAAGTCCCGCATTAGGCTGTGCCCGTAGGAGCCCTGGGAAGTTCCACTGAGACTGCCTGAAGGTAATCATCTCTCCCTGCCTCCTGGCTGTCCCTAACCAAGTGCTCCGCTTGCATCTATTCTAGGAAACAGCTCTGGAGATTATAAAGTTTAGACCCTAATGCATTCACTAGCAACAAGGGGAGAGAAATGCTGTTTGATTATAGATGAAAAGGAAAAATGCAAGGGGCTTTGGTATTCAGAAAAATTTCCAGCACGCTGTGATTTGGTTGTTGAACCCTGTAAGGGACTGAAAGCCCTTGAACTTCATTGTTTTCTCTGAGTCAGTGCAGCCAAACCATAAGCAACACTTGAAAAACATAGTCCATCTAGAATTTATCATAGATTCCTTCATGATTGAAATAATACATCCTTCATGATTAAAATGATAAGTACTTCCCATTATAGAAGCTTATTTCATGCATTACATCCACTTAAATAATTTTTGGTTTGTTTGTTAAACAAAGCCACATCACAGTACGTAGAACATGCATTTAGATCAGTACGTGTGATACAGAATGGAGCCCATTCTGCCAAAAATCAGGAAAATGAGTTGTGTCAAACCCATTCCCTCACCGATACGCCAGCAGAAGAATATAATGCCTGTTTTCTAGGAAAAAAAAATAATGTATATATATATTTTTTTTTAAGTTGTGTAATTAATTGTTATCTATTGTTTTGTTCCACCTACCTGTGTTGCACTTTATCAGGTTATGTAAAGCTGCAGATGTAAAGCTCTTGCCAAATACACCTTCATCAGCAAGTCATGAGAACTGTGCTAAAATAAAATGTTGGCTGGATTAGATGGAGTGGATTAGAAAGATGAGAAATATAAGCTAGGAGAAAATAAGACAATAAATAGGTCTGGCAAGGTATATGGATAATCTTCCTCTCAGGCCAAACATGACAAGATAATAACCTTTTTCTTTTCTCTAGTTCCATTTGCTCTTGGATCTCTCGAGCTCTATGAATATCGCTTAATTTGGTCTTCTGGTAGGCCTATAGAACGAGTATCACAATGTCCATTTTTACAGGAAATAAAAAAAAAAAAAGAGGCAAGGTACATTATTTAGGAATAGGTTTAAGTTTAAAATTAGCATTGCAAAAATCAGTCAAACTCTTCTCTTTTGTTGGTTTGGGTCCTAGCAATCACTGTGCTGAGGGCCGGGTAGTGCACTGACGACAAGCAGGTAAATCCGAGAGCTTCAGCCACGTTTTCACAACTCCCCTCTGCCACCCTGGCTGCACAGCCAGGCCAGAATAGGAGCAGGTCTTGCACTCTCCTCCAGCCCTCCCCAGTCCTTCACAGCACCCAGCACCAGTTGAGGGACCAGGACCACACTCGGGCGATGTCTAGAGCTCTAGTTAGCAGAAGGTGAGGGGGTCAGGGTGCCTTTCCTCCTGTCCCCCATGCTGTCAGAGTATTTGCTCCATAGATTATTTCCGAGCAAGTCTAAACAACCTGTATGAGCAGCTGGTGTGCTCATCAGACATGAATTTTGGTGACAGCACCTCCTGATTTCAGAGAAGGCTCCTTTGAACTATCCTGGACTCTCCTTGCTCAGGAGAAATCCCCACTGCCTCTGCTAGGTTCAGGCTGCAGCCTGCAAAGCCCTGGGACCTTTTCTGAACCCTTTGCCTTCCAGATGGCAACGTCTTCACTGGGTGGGAGGTGTCCTAAGCAAAGTTTTTAATTGTGCCGTGCCATTGATTTCTCCAGGTATGTTGTACCAACAGAGTACTTGCCTGGGCAGAATTACAAACCACAACGTGAATAATTTGGTGAGTTTTACTAAAAAGATTTGCTGTTTTTCTTCCCAGGAACTGTGCAATTTTCTGTGCACAGGAGAAATGAGCCAGGTGTTTAGCAGTCCCTGAAAGTCAGGACTAATTGGGATATGGCATGCTGGGCACCTGAAAACATCAAATGCTTTTGAAAATCTGGGGGGAAGTTTCTGTTTCTGTACATGACCTGGGAAAACTACAGGCTGAAGTTATGCAGAATAAAAAGGAGATCTTTGCATACCTTATAGAAATATCCTCAGTTCAGCCAAGTGCTTAACTTTAGACATATTTGATTTAAGTGCTGAGTTAAGGAGCTAAGCGCTGAGGTTTCTGCAAGTGCATTTGTATTTTCCTGATATTGTGTAAGTTACTGTAGGTTTGTTTTATGAAAATCCCTGAGTCAGTCTCCACACTAAAATAAAATAAAAAAGCCAGATTCTCCCCTCCATCCTGAGGTGTGATGCTGCGGGGGACACACAAGGCTTTGCTGGCTTGTTCATCCTTTCAGGTGCAGAGCCACAGACTGTACCAAGAAATGCCTGTTCTTTGCAATTCGTAACAAAACCCGAAGCCTGAGTCACAGACTGTGTTAAGTGCTGAACAAACACAGAACAAAATGTCCATGCCCCAGAGAGATTACGGTCTCATGGAGCCGGGCCGCTCACCGTGGTGATGTATCAGGAGGGCTCGAATTAACGCCAGATTCCGCATGGCTGCAAACACGCGCTTGAAAAGCAAACCAAAAATCGTGCAAACAAAACCCACCCAACCCTTCCCCTTGTCAATCACCATCCCAATTAACAGCCCCTGCGTGGTAACACTTGTTAGAGCCCCCCCTGGCAGCTCAGAGGCTGCTGAAGGCAAAATCTTGGTCCCGACCCTTCTCTTGGCTGCTACGCGCACCCAGCTGTTTGTAAGCAGGGTAAAACTAAAAACCTCCACGCTCGTCGTACGCCAGGAAGGGGGCCATATCTCACAATCGAAACTCGCAGGAGCCATCTGGTCTCTGCAAATAAGGGCTCCTGGAGTCGGGGTGTGAGTGTGCGATGACTGGAGAATGTGAATGGCCCTATTCATGCACGCGGTGTAACAAGCACTAAGCTACGGTGCTTCAGGCTCTGCTGAGTCAAAGAAAAGTGTGGCAGGAAGGGATGTTTTGGGGGGTTGTTTTTTCCTTTTGCAGGGCCAGGCCTACAACTACAGGATGGAGCTGCTCCTAAGCCCTGGGCTGGAAGCCCCCTGTTCATGCAGGAGCCAGAATAATGCATGCTCGGTCCTGGTTTGCCAGCAGAGAACCTTGGCTGGGAGCTGCAGAGTTTCTTGGAGGGTAAGTCCTTTGAATCTCAGCAAATGCTGAAGACTTCAGACATCCCAAGCAGCCTTAGGATACTCAAACACAAATACCAATATTGAATACTGCATTAACCATTCCTTAGCATTTTTTTTTTCCTTTCCTTATACTATTTCTAGGCTTTAACGTAGGTAATTTTATAAATTAAAAGTCCCAGTGTCTATTCTACTACGATCAAGCTTCACAAAGGTATTTCAGTATCTAAAGACAGCTCATTTTTTTAAACATTACCAATGAATTTGGCCCCACTCTTATTTTCAGGTGAGGTGTATGCCTAACTTATTTTACACATCCCAACAGGACCCTAACGCCTGTTCTGAACTCATTCAGTTTTAAAGAGGTGCTAAACAGCGACAGACTTGGAGGCCTCACAACAACCACAACGCTCTTTGAGGGAAGAGCTAGCTGCCTTTACAAAACACATAGATCAATTTTATCACCCACTTCTCAACTCTTCTCTGCTTTAGGATCTTATATTGACCTTTGGGTTGTTCCACAAGAGGTTTATTTCTGTTGCTTCCCTAGTAATGCATAGCTTTGGAGGGGTCTGAATTTAGTATCTTTTGGTCTGAATTTAGTATCTTTCAGTCTGAATTTAGTATCTGAGAAAACTCCCATTGACTCCAGTGAGCAGAAAAGCCAAATTCTTTGCTCAGAGCTGTTCCTTAAATCTCCTTCCAGTCCCGACCCAGCGACATACTTCAGTCCCGCTGAAGTGTTTGCTGAACCGGGGTGGGTGCAGATGCTCAAAGCAAAGCAAGTGCTTAAAGGCTTGGTCAAGCCAGGCCCCTGCCTCCTCTCGTCCTCTGGTGAGGAGCGGGGCGGGTAGGATGGTGCGTGTGTCGCAGTGCAGTAGTGGACCATGGCGCACGCTGCCACGCGCACCTAGTGCGCAGCAATGCAGGTGTTTGAAAGAGCCTGGATGTAAAATTGCGTGTGAGTGCAGGTGTCTGGAGCAGGCAAAGTGCCCGGGTCTGCGTGCCAAGTTCAGGTGGCTGGGGCTGAACAAAGCTCTGCCAAAGAGAGAAGATCCGACGCGTGTTTATCCAGGCGCAAAAGCTGTTGCAGATCTCGCGTCTGAAATCCACTCTCTTTTTCCTGCTGAGATTCCCAAGCACCTCCCAGTCTCCCAGCTACTCACAGCCTGAAACCCTACCAGATGCCATGATTGCAGTGGAAAAGCAGCTCATTACTGGAGTGGCAGGCGACGCACAGACAAATATTTGTGCAAGGCATACAGAGCCCAGAGAGTGGAACACATTGTCTTTTTGATGGAAGGAGGAAAGGGGAAGGAGGTCTTTGCCTGTAGCAAAATTACATAACAAAATGAAACAACAACAACAAAAAAAACACCCTATGCAGTGTTTGTTACTAGTGAAACCTAAAATGTTTCCTTCTTAGCAGGCAGTGGTGTAACCTCATGCCAGATCGATTTCCAGTTTACAAATTTTGCTAAATTCTTTAAGGATTGGGAATTAAGTTCAGATCTTACCCTAAATTCTTTATTCTTCAAAGATCTCTGTGTGTACGGATCCCTCAGAAAAGAGACAGGTTTTGATCCTTCTCTGAGATGCGTTTGTTTTGAGATCTACAGAAAATTGTTAGTAAAGAAAGGTTACAAAATATGCCCCGAACAAACTGAACTGTGACTTGGATTAAGCAATACGCTCCGCACAATGCAAAATGTAGTTAACTTTGAGGATAACCATCTGTCCTAACACTTTTATAATAAATATTAGATCTGATTAGGCAATATTTTAGAATATGGAGATAAGCCCCCAAAAGCAGGAAAATGTATCTGGTGCAATATTTATTTTCTGGCTTCTCCTCAAGTTCTTTCGCATGCCTGTGTTGAGGCAGGAGATAAAGGACATGATTTCTCATACATGATTTCTTTTTTACAGCTAAACTTCAAAGGAAAAAGATGTTAGATGGATGTTGTAAGAGACAGGACACGACAAAAACCAAACCCAAGTATGATGTTGCATTGAAGAAAGATCACAAATTGAGTCACTGTGCGGACACAGACCTGACAGAAGATGCTGAAAGATTTTCAGACAGATAACAGATATTTCTCCATTCAAATTCCATAGGCAAGCATTTCCACCATTAGTTTGCTCAAAGTACATAATGTGTATCTCTGAATGCTCTCTGTATATTCAAGGCCTTAAATGAAATATCAACTTTCAAGTGTTCTTTTTTCTTTTTTTTTTTTTCCCCCCAAATATTTATTTCAGAAACAGCAAATAGGATTTTCCTTAAAATGGAGAACAGCTCGTTCGTTTTCTCGTCTTCTCAGAGACCAATGTTACTTAAGAAAAATACAGATGTAAAGACAGGAGGTGGGGAAGTCTGAACCTTGGTTTATATTACCTTATTGAGCCTGTTAGGGCAAAATATTTAAGCCTATGTTTACCAGAGCTGCGTATTTTCAATGACTAGGGATTCATTTAATGAATAGTCTCAGCTTCCAAAAAGGGAGATAAAATAAATGCTTCATTTGACAATAGTGATATGCAATGCTTTGTTTCCGAAGTGCTCGAGTGCTCCTAGCATTTTTATCTTTTTTATTTTCTAAATGACACCTGTGGTGTCATCTAAACAAGAAAAAGTGGTGTTTGTATTTTTTTTTCAGTTTGTTCAAATTTCTACATTGAGTCAGAGTTAAATATTTTAACAATTTAAAATATAAGTTTAATCTTGCCAAAATTTTAAAAGAAAAGCATCCTTTAATTTGATCCTGCTATTTATTTATTTTTTTTTTGGGGGGGGGAGGTTAAGCACTTGGTGAAATAAAAATTCCACAATCACATAACCCCTGAGCACTTAAATATAACATGATCTGTCAATGGACCCCGAGTGTATTAAAGTGAGGCATATTTTGAGTATTCAGCTAGAATAAACAATTGAGGAAAAATATTTTTAAAGAACTCCTCACTGATGAATTTCCTCCCAGCAACATCCTGGCGAAATATCCTATTTCTCTAACCAGCCAGAGGATTCTACGAGCAACTTTATGAGTGAACTACGAGGCAGCCCCATTTTCAAAATGAGCATTTTGAGTTTTTCAACATAAAGCTTCAATACTGGGGCAGGGGGAGGCACGTAGGTGCTGTTTGTGCCCGTGAAGCCATTCGGGGCCTCCTGGATTATTTTGGTCCCTGCTCTACCCCAGCCCCGGGGCTGTGAGCGCCTTACCTGGGGCCATCGGGGCGACCGGGGGAAATGCAGCTGCAGCTCCTTCAACCCTCTTTATCCCCCTGGCTTTTGGTCAGCCCCCAACTTCTCTGGCTGCAGCCTGCCTCCCAAAATGCCCCTTCTCGATGCAGCTTCGGTCTCGCCTTGCGTGTCCCCCCCTTCCCCTCCAACTGCCACCACTTGCTATTGTCCCCAGTGGGACCAGACTCAACCGGGAGCACGGCAGGTGCTGGAGCTGGGAGCTTGGAGATGGGAGCTGGGAGCTCAGAGCTGGGAGCTGGGAGCTGGGATCTGGGAGCTCAGAGCTTGGGGTGCAGAGCTTGGAGCTGGGAGCTGCAAGCTTGGAGCTGGAAGCTTTGAGCTGGGATCTGGGGGCTCAGAGCTCGGGGTGCAGAGCTTGGAGCTGGGAGCTGGGAGCTGGGATTTAGGATCAGGGATTTAGGATCAGGGATTTAGGATCAGGGAGCCCGGAGCCGGGCCCTGTCCGTGGTGCTGATCCGCAGCTCCCCGGCCAGGGGCAGCCCAGCCCCGCTCCCCCCTCTCCTCTTCCCCGGCTGCCCCCAAGGGCAAGGGCAGGGGGAAGCCGGCCCCGGACACCCGCAGCCCCACACCCTGTCCCCCTGCAGCCCCCTTGCAGCCTCCCTCAGCCCCCAGGAGCCCGTCCTCGTCCCCCCCAATGCCGAGCCCCCACCGGCGGAGCTGTGCAGAGGTGGCAGCGGCTCCCCGGGTGCCCGGGGGTCCCCTCGCCTTCCCCCAGGCACCCGCAGCATCCCCGGCCGTGCCCAGCCCTCTCCTCCCTCGGCCGAGCCTTCCTCCTCACCCCTGCCGGAGCTCACCTGTCCCTGGGTCACCTTTGCAAGCTCAGGGGCTGGGAAAGCTGCCCTGCCTCTGCCTCGGGGCTTTTATGGGCCCCCGGGGGGGCGGCGGGAGGAGCGCCCAGGCGGGGACTCTTCGCTTTGGCCAACGGGAGGCTGCTTCTCCTTGCGAGCGCACAGATTGCACGGATTACATCATGGAGAGCCGCCTGCCCTTCAGTCTAAGAGTCTCCTCCTCGCGTCAAGGCGGGTCGGGGGAGCGATGGCAGAGAGCAACAGGTCCGTCCGTCGGGGGAGCGACACCGGAGCCCCTTGGAAATAGGGCAGCGGTGGGGAAGAGGGCTGAGAAGCCATCCCCGTGCGAGATGCCCGCTTCGTGGATGCCCAGGCAGGAGAACCCCGCTGGGAGAGACAAGGAGCGTCCTCCCGTGCTTCGGTCTGAGTGAGGACCGAGCTGTTTTGCTTTGTGGACAAGTTGCTCGGTATCTCCCAGCACCAAACCCGCAGCAGCCCCGTTCTCTCCATCGTACCATAGCAGCCCTCCACCTGTATTGCATGTACATGCACCCTCTGATCTCCCAGCCCGGTGGATTAGCCAAATTTCATCCCAGCTCCTCAGCCTTTTTCATCCTGTTCTCAGGGCTGACACAAATAACCAGCCCTCCGTTCCTTCCCCGAGATTCTGAGCTGAGCTGCAACGTCAGATCTGAGTATCTAGAATCCATCTGCTTCTTTTAATGTTCCTGGTGCAAGGCCGTCAGACAGTTGCTCCCTGGAGTGTGCCAAAGGACAAATCACTCGCCAGTGAGAACAAATTTATCTCCTAACCCTTCTGCCCAAGAGCACACGCATGTTTCTGACTTTGGCTGGAGGGTGTCAGCTGGCATGGATTTGTGTTGTGCCTCTTAGATTGCAACCACACAGGTTGCAGGCATTAATTCTTCAAGGTTGCCCTAGATTGTCCTAGATAGTCAGTACATCGAGGTAAAGCCTTGTCTCCTGGTATATCTTGTACACAGGATATATTATTACATGATACCAACGGAAAAAATAATAATTGATTGTAACATTAATTAGCTATAAATCAAAATGGTCCAAAGATAAATGCTCGGCCCAAGTAATACCTGAGATCCACATTCAGATCTGACTTGGGGAAATTGCTGCCTGCTATGAATGGATGGAATGAATCTCCCTCTTAAGATCTGGATCTCAAAGCAGATGACATGAACAGAGCCCGTTTTTAAGTGGCATTTGTTGCTATTCATATTACAGCTTGATTAGAATAAAGCCAAGCTCACTGTTTCCAACTCTTTTTTTTTTTCTGATTTCAGTAGATTGTGGGCCAACTCCTTTGGCTGGCTTACATCGGCTGAGAATCTGACCAGCTACTGCGACGTATTTGTTGTTGCCTAAGATAAAAAATGGCTTTGAGCAGAATATACCTGTGTTCAACATGAATCAGTGAATACCCTGGCAGGCTCAAACGCTGGTCTCTTGAAGGAGGAGATGGAGACTGAGCACTACCCAATGACCTTGCAATGCATTAGTCACAGCATGAAGAATGTAGACTGGTATACGGGTAAAAGAAGATGTTGCAGCCTTACTAGTGCCTGGCCTTGAACACGTGTCTGTGAGAGATTTTTCGTTCAGGAGCCAAATCTGGAAGTCTTTGCTCTGGCTTTGTCCAGGCAAAGCAAGCAGGAGTTCAGGGAAAATGTGAAAAGGATGCTAGGTGGAATTGTAAATGGCATCTTATTGAAAATGCTGAGGGGTGCCTAAATCACTCCAAAACTTACATCAAAAGGACAGTGAGAGTTGGCTACTTAATTTCCCTAGAAGATCCTACTGGGCAGGCAATCCAGTGCAGGGGACTGGGACCAGTGCTTACAGCTGTTCCCACTCCAGCTGGACTTCCTCATCCTTCTCTTAATTTTCCCTGTTCCCCATTTGCTCACCAGGACTCTCTCAATTCCCTTTCACCTCAGTCTGAATGTGCTAACTGCTGTGATCCCCTGGCCCAGAGCTCCAGCTACAAAAACCTCTTTGATTTTCCTCCAACCTTTGGGTCTTCTGCTCCTGAGTGAAATGGAGAAAGGTCCCATGGGGGTAAAAAAAAGAGCCATGAGGAATGATGAAGAATAACCCCCCCAGCTTCTGTTCTGTGAAGAACAGCCATTTTGCAGCTGTGGTGAGCCCACAGGGAACAAGTGTAGAGGCGCTGCCTCTCAGCAGTAGCCTCTTCTTTCAGAGGTGGAGGGCAGGACTTTGGACTGACGTCCTCCCTGTGCTGTCCAACCAGTCATTTTGGCCAGCAATTTCAGCGTGGCCCAGCTGAGAGCTCAGAAACTTGGTTTCCAAAGAGACCTGAGATGTGGACAGGAGGTGTTCCTGAACCAGGCTCAAACCATCTCCAGCCTGAGATACTCCTCATTCAAAGGCTGTGTTTGAAATGTAGGGCTTATAGCGAGAAGAGACCTGGAAACTCACCACATCCACGACAGATTCTTTCTCTCTGGGCTTTTCCACTGCCCAAGGCTCCTCTGGCTCACTCATTTGCATTCTAGGTTCGTTCCAGTGGGAGAGGAGATCGGACAGATTTTTCTCCTGGAGAAAGTCTGGGATGAACCTAGAAGCCACAACAGCAAAGGTCACCGTTTTATTTAATTATTTCGAGTTGTTTTCCACCCCCTACTCGGAGCAGCCCTCGTCGCGCGGTAATTAGCGACGAAGCGGAGGGGGAGCGAGCTGGACTTTGGCCCCAACTGACCTGATTCGTACGAGATGCCTGATTAATGCACCTTGTCACATGGCTGCTGGCAGCGACTTGTTGCTGGGCATCCAGAGGTTTCCAAGGGAACCGCTCCTTCTCCTGCCGGAGCTCCTCGGGAACCGCTCCTGCTCCTGCTCCTGCTCCTGCTCCTGCCGGAGCTCCTCGGCACGCCGTGGTTTGGAGGGCCCGGGGCAGCAGGCTGGGAAGCGAAGGTGTGCAGAGAAACACCTAAAATAGACAAGTGCCCGCATTGAATTTGGGGATGCTCCGAAGTGGGATGGCTCTGACAAAGCCCTGCCTGAATCCCCGAGCCCCAGCAGCGCCTGTGCTCAGCCCTCCCCGCTGTCCTCCCCTGCGCCCCCTCCTCTGTGCACGCAGCGAGCTGCCGCGCACCTACCCCAGCCCACGCACACGTCTCTCGTGCACAACGCTCCACACGCCCCGTCAAACCGAAGCCGTGCTACAAACAAAACAACTGCTACGTGCTAACGGAGATGTGTTTCCGTCCCCATGGATTTTCCTCTTCCTGCAGAGGAGCTCCAGCACGCATTTGACACCCTTTTCCCGAGGTGCATTTAAAGACTCCCCTTCCTTTCTCAAAGACCCTTATGGACAGAGGTCAAACACCCAGCTTTCCACCACTGGACATGCAGATGTGAGCTGCCTGTGCAGGCTGGCACAGAGATCCTACACAGCCTGCTCCCATCTCCTTTCCCCAGCACGCTGCTTCCACGCACACAGCCGCTCCTCGTGCCTCCCTCCAGACACACGTCCCCACGCACGCACCCTGCACTGGCTGCGGGTGTCTCCATCTGTGCACGCACTTCTGCAGACTTACATTCACTCACTTGTTTGTAAACACCCCTGCTTGTTTGCACACAGCCAGAGACACCCCCGTGCACATGCACGCACACTCACGCTTGTGTTTCACGCTATCTGCACGCTCACCCTGAGCACGCAGCCGTCTCGAGGTCGCTTCCTGGGCATGCACCTGCAGGGGCAGAGGCAGTGCCCACCAGCATGGCCTGACACTTCGGGCAGGGACTTCTCCCAGAGCATCTTCCCCAGCCCTTCTCCCCTTCCTTGGAGCCGCGGTGGTTGTATCTGCGCTGTCTCACACGCCTAGCACGTGCTGCACACATGAACACAGAGCGGCAGCTCTTGGCAGTGGAATTAACATCTCTGGACTAGCAAACGCAGCTGATTTGGCAAATAGCACTTCCCGTATTACCAGTCTTCCAAATACACTGGGCGCCGGCTGTCTTTCCTCTTCTCCCTCTCACCGCGATGGCAGGGGTGTGCATTTCTGCACCGTGTGCTCGAACGGGAACTTCCCGAGGCTCTTAATGCTGCTCCAGTTTTGTCAGCCAGGGGTAAGCATTAGCAGCAACAAGGCTCCAGAGGCCGTTAACGCCATGCCAGGAGACCTTCCATTCAAATCCTGCATACACCTGATCCTTGGCAGCAGAAAGCCGGCTTCATTCAATTGATTTTTGCAGAGCAATGCTGATTTATCCCTGCTGACACAATGGTTTGTGTTGCTGAAGGACACAAACAGTCAGGGAAACATGTCTCAAACACGCAAAATCTTTCTCCCTTTTCCCAGGAAGGCAATGCATCCTCGCTAACTCTCCGGCTCAAGCCGCTTTCAGGAGATGCCTACCCAGTATCTTTTATCTCATCTTCCAGACTAGAAGTTGTGCCTGCGAGAGTATAAGATAGGAATGGCTTCATGTAGCAAACCCTATTTACATGATGGGAAGAGAAAGATTCACAAGGTCTGGTTCCTCTGACTCTGAACTCACTTTTAAGCCACAGCACAACTGCTGATACCAACATTTGATACAGGAGGTGTATCAGGCAGAAGAAATGTTATTTGGACTAAACTCAAAGGCTTAAGCAAGAGGAGAGCGTACGAGATAGTGGAAGTTAATGACAGCAAGAGGAAGGTACGACTCCATGTAGAGATGAAAGGCTACAAATGAACAACTGCTTCAAATCGTCAAGCTCTCCGTGCGAGCGTGCGTAAGGAATCAGACATACTAGTGCCAGGGTGAGCTGTCCCCCACCGCGTTCAAATTACGTTGGTGAGCATGTGTGCTCGTGAAAGTACAAAGGCATGTTTATGTGTAATGAACACGCTTTTAATGAGGTGTCTGCAAAAGGCACAATCAGGCAGCAGCAGAGGACGTTCGTGCCACAGTGGAAGCCTCCATCCCTCTGCCTTTATCTCTGCGTTGTATTAAACCCCATGCGCGTGTGCTTGAACTTGTGACATGGAGACCATGGCAAATATAATGAGGAGAAAGAGGTCACTCAGGCAAACTTGCCTGTCCTTGGTTGAGTTTGTGTTCGTGTCTCGAGCAACGGGCTCTCGGCTGCTGAAGCAGTTAAAAGGATAACATTGTAAAAAGAAAGCCCGTGCTAACTGAGTAAACAAGAAGCTTGAGAACGGGATCTGTCAGGGGCTAGAACAGCTTGTAAGCAGAGGTTAAAAGAAAAAAAAGAGAGAAAAAAAAAAAAAGTAAAAACAGCCTGAAGAGCAAACAAGAGCACTGGAGGCAATATTTTCATAAGCATTAAAAGTGGGACCTATGTTCCATTTCAGAAGCGGTTTTAACAGTTAGAAGTCAGCATCACATGGCCTTTCAATAAAATCTGGGATTCTGTGTCCCTCGGATATTTTAGATGCTGTTTCTCAACATACAAGACATTGGTGCCCCAGTGAAATTACCAGGCAGCAAGTTTAAAACAAACAAAAAGAAGTGCTTTTTCACACAGCACATAATTAAATTTTGAAGCTCATTTGCCACAGGATATTGTGGAGACTGAAAGTATAAATAGGTTCAAAAGGTTTTAGACAAGTTTATGGAGGTTTGGTCTATCAGCGGCGATTAAACTTAATAGTCTGGATGCAACATCCAGGCAGTCCTCGTAGATTGCTGGAAGCTACAGGACTACAGCTCGGAGAAGCCTTTTTCTTTTCATGCCCCATCCTCGCGCACGGTGCTGAGCGTCGTCCTGCAGCCACTGCTGGAACTGGTGCACTGGGACAGGGGTACCTCTGCTGCAGGTCAGCCAGACCGCGTTCGTCTTGCTAAATGTGCTGAGAAATGTTTTAGGCTTTCAGGGGGATCTTCATAATCAGTCATTTAGGAACACGGGTCCTTCACGGTTCTCCTCATGTTTATTCTGCTATGGATTAGGTGCTGTCGCTGCACAGACTCTTACAGAATTACACCTCTGTGAAACCCACCTCGTGCGGTGAATTCCTGTTAATTCAGGGTCATTTGACACTGGATTTGAATCCAGTTTCTCTTTTGTAAAGAAATTCCAGAAGATAGTGGAGAAAACAAGGTTTTAGTTAGCATAAGAGTACACGTTACTGTGTAACAGGACAGTCTAAATCAGATCCCACTGCACTGGTTAGAAGCAAATTCAGAAAACATGTGGCCATTGTGCTTTCAACAGATATTTCCAGGCAATGCTGCTCTATGCACCCTTCCCAGGAGAAAAGTAAACTGGATGAGGAAAGGTGTAGAGGTAAATTCTGCTTTCCCATGCCGTGATGTCAACGTGGAGCATCTCCAGCTAGCAGAGAGCCGCTTAACTAGCCCAGAACTTGCTGTCCATTAGCGAGCACCAGGATTTTACAATGATGATCACAGGGGCTAAGTCCTGAGCAACTCCCCTGGCGTGGGTAGAATTAACACACACTGATACTAATTCTGAGCTGGCTGGAACGACCAGAGGCAAATGGCAACGCGTGGCCATCGTACATCCAAGGGGGGAACAGTGAGCCCGTTGGTGTCTGCGTGTTTCGTAGCACTTCACTTCTGGCGGTGGACAACGACGCTTCCAAAGCTGTGCCTCTTTCAATACACAAAATCAAATGTCTGATCATTGTTCATGCGTGACTGTCCCAGTTCCTCTTACAGTGCTTCCTGGAGGCCATGCTGGTCCCAGCATAACGTGCCTGCTCTGCATTTATTTATGTCCCTCCTTCTCTTTCCCTTCTACTCCCATCCTTATTTCTTCTCTTCTGCTCTCCTCTTCCCCTCTGTCTCTGTTCTACCCTCCCTGCACCCCACTCCAACTCAAACACCCAAGGCTTTTTTTGGATGAAAATGATGAAAAATAAACCCCTTGTGAGGAGCTGCAGTATGTGCTCTGCCAGAGAGCGGTCTTATTCATTAAGGTAATGGTCTTGTATGCATTTGGGCATGTTATCAGTAACACTCCAAAGGGAAATGGACTACTTAAACCTATTATATCACTGCTTTATTCACCATGTGCTGCCATTTACCTCCTACATGACGCTGGGCTCTAATAGCACCAGTTCTGAGAAACCCTGCACATTAGCCACAAGCAGCTCATTAATCCACTGTTTTCATTCTTGCAAAAAAAATGGGCTCCAACCACATGAGAGCTCGGATGCCGAGCGCTCAGCCAAAAGCAAAACAGCTTTGTTGTGCCAGCAGCTCCAAGGTAGCCCCAGACAGAGCAGCACTTCCTGACGATGGGGCACATAGGGGGGTCCTCAGCCTCGTGGGACAGGGACAGGCACTGGGGAATGGGATGAAGCTGTCAGCCAGCAGCTGCTGCGGGGAGACGTGGAGAAACTTTCCTGGAGGCTCCAGGCCAATCCAGGTCCTGGCTGCTGCTGTGAGTTCCAACCCAGCACACCCACTGTCCCAGGCAGAAGAAAGGAAGCAGAAAGCATCTCTTGAACATCAGCATGAGGAGCCTGTGATCAGACAGGGGACTGGCAGACTTAATTCCAAGCAGCTACAATGAGATGTTCCTTGAGGGCTTCTGATGAAAACGAAAGGCTCCCCATCCCATCCCATCCCATCCCATCCCATCCCATCCCATCCCATCGACAGATCTGTGAACCTTTTCCCTTCTCCTCAAGCACACAGTGGCATAAAAGAACAGCCACATCTGCTTTGTGAAACAAAAGGACCCTGCAAAGGGCCCAGACTTTCTCACCCTAGCTTGCACCTTGCTGGGGAGGCAAGCTGCTCCATCTCCTGGCTGATGGGACTCCCTGTCCCAGCCCCTCTCTGGCTCAGGGCAGAGCTTGCTAAAGGACGCTGCAGGTGTCTCTGAGTGTGATTATTTTTGCTGAATCTCCAAGGATGGCAAACAAACTCTGCTGGTTATGGGAAGATGCAAGGCTTGTGGACAGGAGCTCACCCATGTGAGAATAAAACAGCATCTGCGTCCACAAAGCAGGCACAGACAGAAACAAGAGGCGACACTTTTTAATGAGTGGGACTTCAGGAATCTAGGATCTGTTCCTCTGGCACCTCTTGGGTCACTTTTTCCTGCTTTGCCTGTCAAAAAAAAAAAAAAAAAAAAAAAAAAAAAAAAAAAAAAAGCTGCTGCTCCCTGGCTGTATATCCCTGCCTTCCTACAGGACAAAGAAAAATACAGAGGCAAAAGGATCTGGCCAGTGAGAACTAGAGATGCAAATGTTAGTCCCGAGGACCCATGGCATCTTGTGAATATCTGTGCTCCCCTCCTTGTCAAGGAGACCCCTTTCCCAGCTGGAAAGAAAGATAAAGATGCTGGTAGCCACAGAGGGAGGGGAGCTGGATGCAGAATTCTACTCTGCCGATGTTGTAGAGCAGGAATTACTGCAACAGACGGTCACCAAATGATGAATCTTCTCTGCTTCAAGATCCCAGATGCTGCTGCTGGTCAGTGAGCGACTGATGTGCCTGCTGATGTGACCCCTACGTGCCTGCCAGATGTGCACAACTGTCCCACTGCCACTGGTGTGCACAGGCTGCTTTATTGGAGGTGGCTTAGGGAAAAGTACAAGGAGGGAAATAGGGCTTAGGAGGTGAGCGGTTTAATTCATTTCCACTCTTGGGAGAGGACGTTAATGAAATGGGAAGCAAGGGGGAGAGGGCTGCGCCTGGTGGAAGAACTCCTGCCTGCCTGGGCTATGAGATCTGCTCAGGAGAGCCAGACAGCCACGCGGTTCAGAGTGCCCAGGGAGACCAAGGCTGATAAAATACCTACTGCCAAAAGGAAATGTGATTACTGGCCTGATCCTGCTCCCTGCCTGCTTCAATGTGTCTACACAGAACAGCTCACGACGAGCACAGAACTGAGAGGCACTTACAGAGGCATTTAGTCTAACACAAAACGTTCTCTTGGGGCACAAGGGGGATGGAGCAAGGCTGGACAGACTCCTCCCCATTGAGCTTGGCTTCATTGAAATCAATATGTTATTATGGGAGCGACTCCAGCCCTTAATATCCTGCCTCCAAACAGTGTCATGGTTGTGGTGAACAAGGAAGACTTGGGCTGAACATTAGGGAAATTCTTTGCAGTGACAGGGATAATCAAGACCCGGAGCAGAGCACTGGGAAAGGGACACAATTCCCAGGGCACCAGGTTTTTGAAAAGAAATCAAGACAAAAGTCTTACAGAGGAGAAGAGGGACAGGGAGGAAGCCTTAGGGCAGCAGGGTGGGATTTCTGCTCAGCCCTATTGCTGTTTTTGTGAAAAAATAAAAATAATAAACAGGTTTTCCAGAGCTGTATGATCTCCTGACAGCTCTGAGTGATGTCAGTGACAGCCCCCAGCTTCAGGCTGCCTCTGCCCCTCTTCCCTACCACTTTTCTCCAGCTCTTAGCTGAGACTTACCTGCTAAGTGACATGTTAAATAGAGCTGCAAATCCCCTCTCCCCAGCCCCTTGCGTGTCTCTGCCTCTCACTGCCCCACCTGAGGCCTGTTTTCTCTTTTGATGCTTCTAATGAAACTAAGTGGCTGCAAGCAGAAAGTTTCCACTTCCTGCCTCTGGGCTGATTACTGCAGAGCTGACAGAGGCAGCATCCTGTGCCGGAGCCTCTACGGATGGGAACCCTCAGGGGAGGGGATAAAGTAATGCTCCGTGCCCTCTGCTCATCAGGCACCATTAGAGGACTGAGTGCTTAACCTGGCTACCTAAGAGAGCAGGACCTCACCAGGCTGACTTCTGGGGCCAAGGTCTCTGGAAAACATGCGCTCGCGCACGGACCCGTGATATCCTCTGCAGTCCTCGATCCTGGGCTCCGGTAGCAGAACCTGGAAAAGAATAAGTGAAGTTCCTTTATCAGCCATGCTGCAGCAATTTTGGCTGGTGCTGCTGGAGGAGGAGCTGGTCTCGCTTGCTATTTTTGTGTGTGCTTAATGCTGTCTAGAGACGCTTCCCCACAGCCCTGATGGATGACGATGTTTGTGCCCTGAGCTGGGATGGATGGATGGAAGGAGCAGCTGCAAAGCAGCGGTCCATCCTTCCAACCCCTCCTGCCTACCCAGCCTCATCTTTAAAAGCTGGTGAGACCTCAAAGTGAGGGTCATTTCAGGCCCTGACTTCCCTGATGATGAGAATTTCTACCAGACATTTCTGGGCATTAAGGCTGAACTTTTCTAGAGCAGCTGCTAGCTGCCTGCCTGGCCAGATGCACTGAGGCCCCATGAGCTGAGCTCACAAGGATGCCCAGGTGACCAAGACACCCTGAAAATCACTCACTTGGGTCTTAGAAGACAGGCTGCTGCCTTGTTTTTCCCCCTCTTCAATTCAGGAACCATGAATACATGCTCAGAACTTGGCTCCAGGTGTAGTCAGAGGTAAAGACCTCCACTAAATGCACCATGTGTCTCTCAGCACTCTGGGCACTGAGCAATTCATCACAGACAAGGCTCATGTGCATATTGCTCCTAGCAGGATGCCCCTTGGGAAACTTCACTCCAGGTTTCTCCTTTAGTCCACGTGTTTTTATCCTGCGTGTGGATCAATGGCTTCCCAAATATCCTGCCCCCCTTGCAACTTCAGCACTCTTCTTGGCCAGACTCCACCTTGGATCTGTGCTGGTGGATGCCACGTTGCCTGGCCCTCGCAGAGGTGTCTCTTGGGTTTTGCTCTTGCACCTTGCAGCTCCTGGAAATCGGGGCTGGCAACAGCAGGGCTTGGTTTCCCTACACATCACCTTGCTGACACGAGGGGAAAGTAAACAAGATTCTGCTCGGCACTGCAGAGAGCAACTGCTCCAGTGTTGCCTGGCAGATGGGGCCCACGAGGGAGACCATCTGTTCCTGAGCAAGGCCCCAAATTTCTCCCTGGGAGATCCTGGGCTGAAGACACCCAAGTGAGCTCAGGGCAGGGGGAGAGGCCCTGGGGAGCAGCCACGGCCTTGGCTGCTACCTCAGTCCTTGGGGACTGGGCATCCTGCAGGACCGAGCCAGGGCTAGCTCCTCGATTCCACGGGTTGTTGGATGTCTGCAGCATTCCTGCTCCCTAAATTCTTTTTTTTTTTTTTTCTCCACATCTCTACGTTCTTTTCATACCTGCAGTCCTTCCCATGTGCACACAAGGCTTTGGCACGGTGCGTGGTCCCTGTTGCAAGACTGGGCAGTGCCCACGTAGCTCCCCTGCAGCCCTCACAGCAGCCACTGACTCTGCCCTCCATGTCCAAAAAAGTGCAACTGCCCCGTGCAAAGGCTGTTTGCCTGATACCTACTCGTTGACAGTTCATCTGGCTCCTCCAGCACATTCTGGCAACACCGGGGAGGTTTCAGTAACGCTGTTAGAGCCCGGGGACGGAGCTGGCATTTCAGAGAGAGGAGGGAATGACATCCAGGGAAGTCTGGAGAAGGAAAGAGCAATCTGCTGCTAGTCAGCATGTCTGAGAAGCTGGGAACATATTGCATTAAACTGATAATAACACCTTGAGCAGCAGGGTGGTAGTTTCCATCTGGCCTCACGCTGAGCTTGGTCTCTCTCATTTCTTCCCTGCTGCAGCCAGGGAATCTGAGGCGTGGAGTTGGCCACAGGTCACCCAGCAAGGCAGAGAAAGGATGAAAAGAGCCCTGTAGTGAGAGCGGGGTGCAGAGAAGCAGCAGCAGCACAGACTCTTGACTCTCCTTTCACCCCAACTAGACCCTCCTTAAGCTTGGGAGGTGGGAAGGCACTAGGGCTCTTCGCTTAATTAGTAGCAACAGCTGAAGCACTTGAGAAACAAAAGCTCCTCTCTCTCTCTGCCCCACTTTTACTTGGGAGCCAGGGGTGGGGAGCAAATTGCTTGGAAGCCAGAAAGCGCCCTGGATCTTGTCACCATGGCTGCACAGACACAGCCTCCTGTTATCTCCAGAGGAACAAAACCCTCCTCCCACCCTCTTCTGTCTCAGCTGGAGCTGATAAAAGAAGAAATAAACAAAACAAATTAAAAAAAAAAATACCCCAACCCAAACCGGCAAGTAAATATCCAGGGAATAAACCAACCTGCTGCAAAACATATTTGTTTCTGCAGTGGCTTTTGGGTTGCTGGCGAGCTGAAAGACTCAAATGAGCATTTCAGGTTACAGAGTCCATCCCAGTAATATCAGGAGTTACAAAATCACAACTCACAAACATCACAGACCGCATCATTCGCTTGAGAATACAGATCTCTAGCTATAGATAGCTAATTGTGTGGATCTGATTTATTTATTTATATGAATGTGTGTACTATTGAAATGATTCAATATGATTTTTATGTCTTGTTTAAAGCCCATAGGGATCACACCTCTAAGTTTTCTGTAAGAGCTGGAGTCTCACCTCTTCTGTGTTCCACCGTGTGCAGAGAGGCAGCAGCAAGTAAGCAGGGTAAGGCAGCAGAAGTAATCAGCTAATGGAGATTTTTGTGCTGCCGCAGTTAAACTGCTTTTGGTATCTGAGCACCTTCGCTCGGTGTGGATAGGAGCTTTAGAAAGTAACACAAAATGCAAAACAAAGTGGGACTTTGATGTGTTCTCGCAACTAAAAGGCTAAAAATACGCCAAATAGCATAGGAGCAAAGCAGTGAAAACTAGCAACCATATATTTATGTATTGAGAGAAATTAGGGCTATTATGGTTGCTCCAGACTGGCTTCCTACATAAACGGGGTAGATAATTTCACTTGATGCTTCATGCATCAAGCTCTGGCCATCTGGCTGAATGCGAACATACCTTTTAGCAACATGTCTCATTTTGGCTTGATGCCTTTGGGGCCACCTCCCTACAACAGGCACTATTTCGGTGCTTAATTACACTTACTGTTGAAAAAGGACGACTTATTTTTAGTCTGTATCTTTCCAGTATCAGCTTCTGGCTGGAGTATTGGACTGTCTGTGTATGCGTGTGGAGAGCTGTATGCCTAAATCAGCCTGGGAACTGCACAGGACACTGGGGGGCAGAAGATGGCCCACAGAATGCCTGTAAGTGTTGTTTGGTGTGGTTTCTGAAGTCATTAATATGTGGACAAACAAATTAAGGGGAATAAGAATAACTGCTAATTCAAAGTTTAACCTAGTTGTCTCCATTTGGCACTGGCTGGCACACACAGTCAGCTCATTGGCTCTCTTTTTATTATCAGCAGCTGAAATTAAAATGCTTGTAATTCGAGCAAGAAAATTATGACTTTGTAACACAATAAACATTTTGCTAGTGTGATAAGTTTTGTCTTTGTTTACAACCTTTATTTGCGCATGCCAAGGAATATCAAGGTGTCCCTTGATTCAAAAAGGCCAGAGAACACCGTATTAAACATTTGATTATGTCTTTCAACTGTTCCACACCCGTGTTTGCTCCCATTAGCAGTTCTTTGACCAACCCTAGCAAAGTGTTACCTGTAGCACTCTAACCTGGCTCACAAAAGACAATTCAGCAAGAGAGGTTTCTGCCTGGGTGACTTACAGGGCTGAACTCTTGCTTTTAAACTTACCTGACCTTCCTTTGCATATGGATATAGCAGGATAAACTCATTTAGATCATGACAACAGCTTGCTCAGCCTGGCCTGAAAAGATCAGGCTCTTATTGATAGCTCTGAGCACATTGTTATCGCTACAGCAAGCATGCTGCTCTCATGTTCTCCCACCGCCAGATAAACATGAACATCTGCATAACTATTGTAGTAACAGCAGTACTAATATTAATGATACTGGGGTGAGAACTGGGTCTAGCCTCCAGTGCTTGTATTTTCCTGGGCAACCACCTCCAGGACTCCTCTCGGATGTCTTTGAGAACCCGGGTTAAGAGATCATTTGGAAGGAGTTGCTGAGTTTTCCACCAACGCACCAGTCGATAAAAGACAGGGTAGGATTTCATAGCACACCAGGTATTCATGCTGGGTGTGGACTTTCAATGAATTTATAAGGGAATGAAATTGCAAAACCTAGTCAATGTTGTGGACTGATAGCCAGGACTCTGGGGCTTCATTGTACATACGCCTCTGACTTGCTGCATGCTCCAGAAAAATTACTGTCCCATTGCATTTTTTTTTTCTTTTTGCATGAGGAAGAACAGTGTCTCTGGGCCTGAGGTATAAGAAGTCTGTCCCCTACAACAACAGCACCAGAGGAAGTTTCTGCCCCCCTTCCACCCTGTATGATCGACCGGGGTTGCACTGGTGCTCAGGAGGAGGATGCTATGGCTCAGCATCGTTGTCACCCCTCCGCCCCATAACCAGTTATAATTAAAGACCAATTTCCACAGGACGCAGACGCCTGTGCTCACATGCCCCTTGGTGCGGCAGAACAAACTAATATTTTGTTTCTGCAGAGCCAATATTTGACCTCTCTGTTCCCTGCTGACCGTGTGCCCCCTTTTATGTCTCAGCATCCTGCGCTGGATGCGGTGCCTGCCCCCCTGCTATCACTCGCACATCCAGACACCCCTCATCTCCCAGCACCCATCAGCTCCCAGCATCTGTGCCACTTGCTTGGCCTCTTTTCCTTTATGCTGCTCCCCTCCACAGTCGTGTGACTGCTATTGTGTGGTCCCTGCCACACAAAAGCTAGCCTGACCTAATTTAAATCAGTGCTATTGAAGCCCTTCTTGTTTTATCTCCCAGCACAAGGGCTGTGCTCCCCATTTCAGAGGTAGCACAAATGAATGCCTAATTGGGGGGGTATTGTGCAGGCAGTGTTGTCTCCCAGCCCTGATTGTCAGCTCTCCTGCTTGATGGTGCTCTGAGCTCCCCTCTCTTCTAACAGCCACGCAGGCTGTTTAGAGAGCAGAGGGAGGAAGAGGGGAGAATGGGACTCTGCAGGCATTGCAGCATGTCAGACAAACAAAGCAGAGCATGGCCACGTTCAGCGCACTGGTGAAAAGGCTAGCTGGGGGAGGGTTCCCTTGTTCAGAAAGGGCAGATGCTGGTGATAATGGCAGAGAATATCCATCCTTCACCTCCAAATAACCCCCCTGCTTTCTTTTTTTTTTTTTTTTCCCTGCGTATTTATGTGGCAGTCTTTCCTAGAGCTCTGGAGACTGCCCTTGGGGAGGGGAGGAGAGGCAGAGGGGGCTCTCATACACGAGGGTTGTAAGTCTTGGGAACAGAGGAAATGGGATAGGTCAGGGACTGCAGGGGAGACTGAAATGCTGCCGGCCTCTTTGTCCTCCTGGGCAAAGTTTGAGCAGTCACCAACAACAGACCTTTGTAAACAAAGTGAGGAACATCCCCAGGAGCTATTCCAGTGAGTGGAAACCAGCACGAAGAGGGACCTTTGTCTGGACCCTCAAAGCCACAGTTGCACAGGCAAGGAGGATCCAAAGCCCAGGACCCATCCACGCTGTTTGTCTCGGGGCTACTGGAGTCTAACGCTGCCTTAACGAGGGACGATTACAGTACAGGTTTGGGAGCTAATATGGCAGCGCAATGTCTTTTGTCTAATTCCTGCTTCCCACAGGTACCTTACAACAGCTTCCTCCCTGGGGCTGTTTGGTCTGTTCCTCTCCTTTCTCCACTGATCGCCTGACTGGAAGGGAGATCTGTAGAAGAAAACAAAACCCAAAGCATTTGAATCATTTCACTGATGTCTTGGTTCGCTACAGATTCGCTTGCTTCTGCTCTAGGGAGAGGACTTTGCCCTCACGTATTGATCAGGTTTGCCCCCAGCACGCTCAGGTGATGCGCAGTGCGAAGGTTGCTACCAGAGTCCTCTCCTGCGGGCTCTACCAGCTACAGGCAAAAAGAGTGCAATACCGGGATATTAAACAGCAATGTGCAGCAAACAAGTCCCAAGGGTTCAGGTTTGTTATAGACTTTAATGTAATGTTCTAATCCTTACTGCCAGTCAAATAAGAATAAAACACCACCAAGTCCTGGAGTTAAAAGACGTGTGACAACCTCCTCTCCGTCCCTTTTGGCCCCAAATCAAGAGATTAGCCACAAAATCGTAAAATTAAAAGTAGCTCTGAGGTTCATTTATTTCTTCCGTATTTATGATTCATTCCTCTCCTCTAAGCTTTTCTCTGCAGCCAGCAGAGCAGAAAACACACTTCAGCAGAGAAAACAAAACAGGAAAAAATGAATTCTCTGATTGCCACCCAATTCTGAGAGCTGAGGTTTTATGAAAAAAAAAAAAAAAATGGCCATAGGAGTGTGCGAGTTACTAACATTGCATTAAGATAAAGATGAGGATGGGGATCTGGTATATTCCTAGAACCAGGTGGGGCTGGCAATAGGGACTTTACCCAAAGCTTTGGGGATGGGAAAGCCATTACCCTGTGGCTGCCGGTGTCACATCGCCCTGCTCTGTGCTGTCCTCGTGCACAGCTTGGAGAGACACAGGTGATGGGCACAGAGCCTGGCCCGCTGTGCGCTACAGAAGCTTCACTTGAAGGGAAGGAAACGTCCCCAGCAGCTGGGGGACCCCAAGGGTCTGTCCTTTTACTCAGCCCCCCCCCCAGCCTGTCGTCCTCCAGCTGTCCTCGCCCTCCCTGCCTGGCAGGGAGCTCCGCTCCCCGTTGCCACTATTCTACCGACATCTGGTGGCAGCTGCCTCAGCAGAGGAGCTGCTCCTTCCAAAGGGCCCCACTCACGCCCTTGGTGCCCAGTGTGGGGTCTGTGCCTCAGCCTTGGGCCTCGGTTGGCGGGCTGAGGCCATGATGGGCCTGGAGGCCGCAGCCTGGTTTTGGGAGCCCCACAGGAGGGCACTGGGGCACTGCTGGGGGCCCTGCGGTGAGGAGCAGGGCGTGAGGCTTGGTGGCACTGCTGTGGGGAGAGGCTTTTTGTGCCCCATGTGGCAGGCAGCACGCTTCTTGTGGGGCTGCCCTTCTGAGGTGAACAGCACCAAAACACTGCCGGACCCAGCGGCAC